AAAATTAAAGATTTATAAAAAGGCGTTTATAATGCTTATTTATTATATATTAGCTAAATATTATTATGCCTTTTTTAGCTTATTTAAGTCTTTATAAGTAGCTTTTATAAAGTTAATTAAGAAAGCTGCTAAAAAATTGCTAAATCCTGCTATATTAAATTCTTTTACATGGGTTATAAAAAATTTAAAGACCTTTATAAGGCTATTTCCTAATTATGCATATATATAATATAATTAAGTATATTTTAATTTAATTATTATGGTATTTATTAATATTTTTACGTAAATCTTAATTTATTAAGTATTAAAGTCTTAAGTACCTTAAAGTAAAGGAATGTTTAATAATTAAGTATAAGGGTAATTTAGGGAATTAATTATTTTAAAATAGAAATTAAAAAAAATAAAGTAATACTCTTCTTAATTAATTAAAGCAAAAAAGAGGATTTTTTATAATGTAATAAAGCTTGCTGCCGTATATATTTAATATATTAAGAATACAAAAGATAAAAAACTAAGGAAGGAAGCTAAAGGCATTGCTCCGGCTTTTAGCTATATACCTATAATATTAGGTTACATAATTAGATAGAAATCCATGGGCATGTTTATTATAAAATTAAGATATTAATATTATTAAAAAAAGCTATAAATATTACTTATTAATAAATTATATTATATAAATTGTCAATGGGTACCGTATGTATGGAGAGTGAGGGCGATAGCAGTTGACTATTGTATGGGTAATTAATTCGGCTATGGTGTGGAGGGTAGGTTGCAGCGAAGCTGCAGCCTTTCCCCGTCTGGCTATAGGCTAGCTATGGTGGTCCGTGCGCGGGGCACGTGACTGCTAGCTGGCAGCTAGCTAACACTGGCTGGCAGCTGCTATTAATAAGACTAGTTTAAATCGTGCACCTTTAAATCTATGCATTGCATATATGCACTTATTGCATAGGCACGCCACGCCTATACATATTATTCCTATATTGGCAGTTTTTTATATATATGCATGCATATGCTTTAAAATTATGCTTTTCCTTTAAATTATTGCTTAGCTAATTAAATCGCTTGGTTGATGTAAATGTCTTATCCTTTAAGGGGCTATAGTGGGTTAAGTGCCTTATGGCCGTTGCTTTAGTAAGTTAAGTGTAAGTGTTTAAGTGCGAGTGTTTAAGTGCGAGTATGCTTAAATGTTTTAAGTGCTTAAATCGCTTAATTAAATTATTTAATTATCAATACTTTAAAGCTTTAAAGTATTTAAATGCCGTGCTTTAATTAATTAATTATTACTCTGGCAGCTTCTTTTTTATAGCTAATGTTAAACGCTACTCTTATGGCTATGGTAGGCGTTATTTTTGCATAATAGAAAGCGCTACTTTTGCTTAGTGGCAAGGCCACTTTTGCTTAATGGTAGGCGCCACTCTTGCTTAATGGCAAGGCTACTTTTGCTTAGTGGTAGGCGCCATTCTTATATAATGATAAGGCATTATTGCTGCCGTTAAGGCTATTGCCGTTTTTATCGTTAGGGCAAATCTTATAATAATTAATCGTGAGGCAAAGGGAGGGAAAGAATGTTTTTACGCTGCGTTTATAAATTAACAATCAGCTCTTAAACTATTTACCCATAGATAATAGCGCCTAAATGCTATTATTGCCTGGCAAATTAACCTTTATTAGCTTTAGGGTAATTTATATTTAAGATCTTATTAAAGGGCATTAATAAAGAGGGCATTGAAAAAAGGGAAGGTTATGCTTATTAATTAAACATTGATTATCATTAAAAGGTAAATATCTTAAAGGTTTAATTAAGTTATTTATATAGCTAAACCCATAATAAATCTTAACTATCCCCCTAATAGTTTTGGGTTAATTAAGTAAATAAAATAATTGCATTAATTACTTGCTTTTGCTAATTAATACTTTAAAGTATTTAATTAAGCGTGCTAATTAAGTATGTAAATCGCCCAAAAGAAACGTTATTTATTAATACTTTAAAATTTTAATTTCATTAAGTGCTTAGGGGTTTTTAAAGAGTTATAAGCCTTAAAGGTATTGCGTGGGTGCCTTAAGGGGTATTAATTATAAACAAAGGCTTCTTAAGAATGCTAAGCAAGGGCTTTTTAAAGGTTTCTTAAGGATGCTAAGCAAGGGCTTCTTATGGCAGTTATAAGCAAGGGCGTTGGCAATTAAGGGTGCCTTATAAAGGGCTTTTAAGGATGTTGCAAGGAGGGCTTTTTAACGTGCCAGTCGCAAGCAAAGGCATTAGCAATTAAGGGTATCGCGAGGGCTTCTTAGGCTTCTTAAGGCTATGCACCGATTATAAATAGTCTTCTTTTACCACGCGCCCATAAATACCTATAAATAGCTTTGTTGATTAACTTAAGGTTTTATAAATGCTTATAAACGGCTTAGAAAGAGAGTTCTTAATAGTATATAATTACGTTTACTTAAGAAAATCGCGAGGAATTAAGGGTATATTAAGGAAGGCTTTTTAACTAAGGCTTATTATAATTATTATTATTGCTAGCGATTTACATAATAAAACGCGCCATTTAATTAACAAATTTAAGGCATTACTAAAAACTTATTAATTAATAAATTAAATCTTTATAATAAAAAGGTTAAGGCACTACTTATCCCTCCCTATTAGTTTCAATCTTAGCATAGCTATCAACACTTAATTAAATAAGTCCCCATTACCAATAGTTGCCTGCCCTTATAATGCCAATATTAATTATTTAGCGTAGATATTATAACTTAATTAAGGCGGTTTTCATTATTAATAATTGCCGCTTAATTAATTATAATAAAGGTTTATCGCCTTATTTAATTATTTATCGCAATTATCTTAATTAACAATTAATTAATATTAATAAGTATTGTATATACGGAAAGTAAGGGTAATAGCAGTTAATTATTATATAAATAATTAATTTAGCTATAATGTAAAGGGTAGGTTATAATAAAGCTGCAGCCTTCCCTTGTTTAGTTATAAGCTAGCTATAATGGTTTATGCACGGGGCATATAACCGCCAGCTGGCAGCCGGCTGGCACTAGCTGGCAGCTGCTATTAATAAGACTAGTTTAAATCATGCACCTTTAAATCTATGCATTGCATATACGCACCTATTATGTGAGCACGCCACGCCCATATATATTATTCCCACATAAATATATATTAATTAAATATATTTTTATTTATAATTTATAATAAATTTATGTATATTTAAAAATATAATTTAATTAAAAAAATATATTAATTAATTATATTATAAAATTTTATTTCTTATTATAAAAAAGATTAATTTAATGTTTTTATTATATTTATAATATTTAATAATTATTTATTTTTATTTTTATTTTTAAATAATAAATACTTTTAATATTAACAAGAAATTAATTTAATACATTTAAAAAATGGGTATCTTAAGCTGTGTTTATATAAAAAACATGGTGTGGCAAACTAAGGGGTGCGGCAGATCTGGGCTGGGGACTTTATGCAGGTGAAGTTGTTAAAGTACACACTGTTACTTATAGTAGTTGCGCCGAACCGTGAAAACAGTTATATTGACTTTAGTTTGCAGAGAAGGTACTTTTTAATGCGTTAAAAATCTCCTCGTCTCTTAACCCTCCGTTTCTTGCTCTGCAAATGTCCAAATTCTTTAATTAAGTAATGCATACTCAATTCTCAATTCTCCTTGTTAATTTAATCGGATGATGCCGCACCTGGCAGAACATCTACGCTGTGGTATGGCTTTTGGGAAGAACATACTTTCGAAGGAGGGGTTGACACCAGAGGATCTCAGCCTTGCCAACCGAGACAACCAACGCGCAAGCTATGCGCCGCCAACATTCGGCCTGACGTGAATCGCCCAGTTCCTCTGACCACAATCTCTAAAAATGTACGGTTCACGTCGGCAGTCTTTGATCTTGAGTCCGATAATGATCGTCTGACAGGTTTTGCTCTCCGGATGACCCCGTGAGGAACCTGGAGGTACAGCCTGCCCTGCTGGTGCCATCTAATTACAAGGCTTATTGAGGTGGAACAATAAAGTCCAGTTAATATGCAACATCTAGTGTCTCGGATATGCCGGCTTCCTTGTCATATCGAAGACCATTTTCCGTTTCTCCCGTCTACATTCTTGTGTCCTGCCCTATGGCCGCTTGCTGGAAACGCAAAATCTGGGTCCCAGAGGCCTGTATCAGCGATGCTTGGAGATGGCCCCCCCTCGCTGTGACATGCACGCTGAATGTAGTATGTGCGTACAGTAATTTCGAGAAATACATATACCCCTCCAAAGGTGTACTTGGCGGGGATGTTTTGGGTTTCCAAAATTGGTGGGTGTGGGTTTGACGGTCGCAGCAACTGGCCATGTCAACGGCGCTGCGGTGCAAGTCACAATCGCCTATATGAGCCAAGTCTGAGACTATGGTGTTTCAGAATGGTACCCTTTTGAGCGCGGGTGGCTCAGCTGGAAGCTCACAGATGATCTTTACAGTGAGCCGCCATTTTCAGATGGCCCAACACTGACACAGTAACTCTTTCTGAAACAGTGATCACGCCCTTGGAGCATGGTGATGGTTTCTACTTCACCAACCACGTTACAATCAATTGTTTATGATGAGACAAATCACATTAGACTCGTATAAGGAAACGTTCATTTTGAGTAGAGTTATTATTTAGCCACTCTACTGTGACTGGGTATTGAGTTCAGGAAGGCGTTGAGACAATGTGCAGCACTGTCAACCAAGACCAGCCAGGCACTCTCAGTGTCTTAACTCTTAGAAGGCAGCACATACCTATATACTAACCTAGTATGATACTTCAATCCCAAATATCATTGTTCTTCACAAGCCCCTGCCTCCAGGCAATGGGTGAGCAGTATTATATTACATGTAAAACATTGTAGATAATTCCAAACTTTTTATTCCTGTTGCTGCAATGTAGCAGCATAAGACACTGTCTTGTATATAATTGCCTCAGTATTTACTCTCTATTCACATTCCTATTTATGGGCATCTTTCTCCTGCGCCATCTTCCTTAGAGGCTCTTTATAGGAATTTTCTAAATCGCTCTGACGCTGATGCATCATCTCGAACCAAGGCTCATAAACCTTGTCCGTCCTCTCTATTACATAGCCACTTTTATATGGGGGCACATCATGGGAGTAGTGAGACTCATAGGCTGTCTCCATTGCCTGCCCATTCTTCTCGTTTTTGTCGTCGTTGAGGAAAGTGTCGTAAGCAGACATCAGGCATTCTTTCTTTGTCAGGCTAGAAGAGGGCCAGCATTAGCAGGCTAGTTCAAGACAAGTTGCTCCAATCAAGCTAGACTAAATGGCCTTGTCTGGACTTACTGCTTGTCAAGGTAGGACTCCTCAAAACTGGGCAATATGCCGGTGTTGTACGCATTCGGGGGCACAACATTAATCGTAATATCTTCTTTCCCTAGCATTGGAGCCATCACGCGCACCCACTGCAGGACAGCAGCCTTTGCAGCGCAGTACTCAGGAAGGGTGGGTAACGGGTAGATAGCCGCGATGCTCCCCGTGACAATGATATTTCCTCTGTTGCCGCCGGGATTGTGGCGCATGTAGTGCACTGCCAGCTCCGTCCCGTAGACCACGCCTTTGAAGTCAGCATCAGTGCAGCTGAGGTCCGGACATGGCGGGATGTCGTCGACAGACACGTCCTTGCGAGCCAGGTTATGTCGCGATCGCACGTCCCTAGGTGAGAGTCAAAGGGTCAGCATCTCGCGGAAGGGGGCTCGACAATGCTCGTAACGAACGTACACTATCCCGGCGTTGGCAATTAGCGCGTCGAGTTGTTTGCTTGTAACAGACCGTAGCCCCAGTGATGATGACGACCTTGCGGGATGACGAAGAAGTGGAATCCATGTTGACGCTGCTTGGATCTGAGTGGGCCAGAGTACGGTTGTCCGGTGGTACTCGCCCTCAGATTTGAGTTTCACAACATACTCCCACGTATTTATAGTGCACGTGGGCGAATTGCCGACATGCCAAGTGGATGGCTGAGAAGGCCTCAGTTGGAGGCGTGGTATGTCTTTGCCTGTTGGCTGCACTGCCTCACACCACCATACTGCATCTCTTGTGCATTATGCACAGCGTTATGCACTTGATCTAGCAACTCAGATCTCCAGACACCCTACTTCAGTATTACAGCCCAGATTCCCCATGCAGAATCTTTCCTTTTCCGAGGGTCCTGCATCCAAGCTGAGTTGGGAGCCACCTCCTGGGCATGCGTGGCGTGCCTGTGCATTCGGCACTCGTGCGTATTCCTACCTCAAGAACATCCAGTGACTTTTGCATAGTAGCAGCGCTGGTATGACATCTATATCACGCACTCCCCGCCCTTTACTTTCTTTCTGTCTTACCGTCACGACGTTTAAAGATGCAATTGACCATCCAACAATATTCTTTTTCTAGATCTTCGATATTGGCCTGTGTATTGTCGATTACTTCATGGTGCTGAAAGGCTGCTTTGGGTTCCACATCAAGGATATCGAGAGAAGGTTCGGGCCGGAAACCCTCGTCACATTCAATAAAGTGCGTTTGTTCAACACCCATCCGGCCTTTCCCAAAGCACTGGAACGCGGCATGGTCACAAGCTCATACAAGTCATTTCAGTGCATAGCAGCATGGCCGATTCTCTGGAGTTGCTGCGTCATGACTAGCAAATGGTCTGTTCTCTTGATGTACCAGACGCTGATACCCGTTGCGCGGATGAAGCTGGCCGTCCGAGTCGTGGGTACCTTCATCGTCTTGTTTGCAACCGGTGGAATCCTAGAGGCCTTTCTGATTTGTAGGCCCTACGCCAAGAACTACTACGTCAATCTGGAGGGCACTTGTGGGAACGTCAGGACGTTCTAGATCTGGCTGAGCGCTCTCAACCTATTCAGCGATCTCGTCATTCTCCTGCTGCCCATACCCTTCCTCTACAAGCTGCAGATGCCGCTGAGGAAGAGACTGGGGTTGATTGGCATGTTCATGGTTGGCGTCTTGTGAGTTGCCGCCGACCCAATAGATGTCCCGCCCGATTATCACGAGGGCGGCTATTGACTAGATCGCCAGAACCTGCGTGGTAACCCTCTACCGCCAGACCACTCTAGGTAACCTGGACCTCACGGACATAACCGCAAGCGGACTGCTCGCCTTCCTCGCCTCCACGATCGAGATCGCCGTCGCCATCTGCATAGCCTGCTTGCCCTTCCTCCGAGCACTATGGGGCTCGTTATCAAGCCAGCGTGGTGGCTCGTCCAACAATTACGACTCCTGCGGATCAAAAGGCCTCAAAAACGGTAGGAGGACCTTGAAGAGCGATGGGTTCGGGCACCTTCCTGACGACTCCTCCGAGATCAGGCTCCAGCCCATGGGGCCAAATAACAGGAGGCTCGTGTAGATGCCAAGCAGTTGGTTAGAGGATAGGTCCGCGGATGAAAGACCACAAGGCCACAACAAGCCTGGCCGACGTGTTGGTCCTCGACAGCCAGGTGATTGTTCGTGTGAAGGCCATTGAATGTCGGCATGTTGTTGTTGTGAATCCAGACCGTGGCTCGTCCAGATTTGTGGACGAGCCAGGACGAGGAAGCATGGCCCGGGCTCATTGCTTGAGCCCATGAGCCACGACTTGCAGGCAAATGCGTCGTCGCTCTCGAATCTGGGCAAGGAGAGTACCAGCCTGGTCAACGGACTAAGGTCTTAGTTTAATAACCACAAAATATCATATCCGGTCTTAAACGGAGGAGACCAAGCTGGACCTATTATAAGAGTAAAGAACTATAGCATATACCCGAAGTTATATAATATGTCTCAACTGGCCGAGCAAGTAGCACTGTCGAGCACATTGTCCCTGCTATGCCTCACCATCTGTCTTGTTAATCAGATGCTCCCGTTTAAGAAGGCGGGATTTAAACTGTTTTGCAACCGTCATCGTCTGGGTCGCCCCAGCCGCTGGTGCCGTCGTGTCTGCTGCTCGCAAGACATCACGGCGGGTTTTGGAATACCAGGCTGTTGATGTGGGAGGGGCAGGCTTCACGCGGACCCATTGCAGACTGGTGAATATGTTACAATCAGAGTGTCTTTGAGAGACTTTCAGTCAGTAGCATGGGGACGATTGGTAGAATACGGCGTAGACTGTGGAGCCGCAACAATTGGTCGGCGCGATTTCCCGCTCCAAAACGTGAATCCGCAACCCTACAGGAGAAGCCCCCTATGTCCCTGACACCAAAGGACGGCATGACAAACATCAGTGTTTGATCGAAGGCGGAATGTATGTCACTTGCGGGGTGGAGCCGCGGTAAATGAACCGCGGACAAAAGCCTTCTCCCTGATCCGGCAACATCCGGGGTTATCAGAGCATAACAATCCAGTGGTCTCTCCTGCGAAGACGTATCAGAGGTTTGAGACGTTGCTTTCATTGCCTCCGTCGCGTGGGGGCCAATTCAAAGAGAGAGGCCACAGACGGAGACAGGGTTACCCGCACGGCGCTGGTAGATGCCAAGCAGCTTATTATGAAATGGGGCACACCGAACAAACCCCACCGTCGATGATGTCATGCCTCTGTTCACGGTTTGGTAATGCACGACTGGATTCGAGATGGATCAAATCCTTTATTAAAATATAGCCTACATGGTATTCCTCCCCACTTGTAGAAACACTTGTAGAGATGATTTAGATGTGACGACTAGCCCCATTCAACCAAGAGCAGATAGCCAAGGTATGCATCATATGAACCCCATGTAGACCATACCGCTTATCACCCTCGCTGTCCTTCTTGTTATGTTGATAAGGCTTATGAGTCCGTTCATGTACACAAGTCGGACCCTGCCAAACTTGTAGCGAGTACCAGTCTTCAGCGGAGGGTGACCTGTTGTGTCCTGTACGCCCGGTACTCCTAGTTTAAGGAATCTTAGCTTTGATATACAGCAATGGAAGACTCCAAGGAAAAGTGGGCATAGCAGTGCTTTCTTCTTGTTTTTGTTGTCGACTAACCTTGTCCCATGCGGTGCTGCCATGTTGCTGCCGCCTGTTAGACCACAAAGGGCCCGGGGTCCTTGGCCCGTTCCGTACAGCAGGTGATGATTCGGCCAAGCAGTATTGTCCCGACGAAGACGCAGAAAACGAAGATGTACATGAACACAGCCCAGTCCAAGTCCATCTTGGTGTGTTGGAAGGGGAAGGGGAACGGCGTGGCGGTTGGAGCCGCCTGGCGTGCGATGAGGACAGCATCCATGGCGGGCTGGATAGGCGCGGCTGACAAGGCTCGTGGGGCGGGCGAGGCTGGCGAGGTCGAGGTGGGATTAGGCTGAGCGTGGTGGTGCAACCTGTGCACCTAGTTCAACGAGTGTGGTTCGTCCGTCGCCAACCAGGGCCTGGCAAGAAGGAAACGACGTGTCGTACGATGGCCTTGATGCACCAGGCATACCAAAGTATAATCTGCGCTTAAGCGAAAACAAAAAGTGGAATGGAGGAGACTTGGGAGGGAAAAGTGGCCTGATTTTCCTGCGAATGGACGGGGTATGGCACATGGGATAAATGGGAAGACCTGGGGAAAGGCTCACTTGGGACGAGATGGTGTGTGCGCCCCTGGCGGGAAGATCAGACCGAAGGTGTCACACCAACACCGTCGCCCAACGGGTGCCAACTACCCAAGCACGGCCGCCAAACCACTCGCGGCCTTGGCATCGAGAGCAACGCGTGCCGGTATTAGATTAGCTCCCAGATCTGCGCAGTGCTGGATCGACCAATTCTATGGGAGTCTTTGTTCGGGCCGCCGCAGGCTGACACGGCTGCAAGTCTCACCAGCGTCCACCCCCGTCCCGGACTTGGCGCCGATGAGGCACGACCCTGAGCAATGACGTCGATCGCATCGACGAGGTTCGTAAGGAGTTGTATGGCTGGGTCGCACCAGCAATATTGTTACCTGGTGGCTGTAACGCATTGGTTCCACCTGTGCTTGACGGACTGGACAACAGCCATCGCTGGCCCGTCTTTGGCCGGCTGCAAGACAACGGGACTAAGTACAGTTCGAAAGGGAGTGACGAATTTGCTGTACATCCATCGTCTCCGTTGTCCTTCCTTATTGGAATTGGAATGATAGCCCTTGCAGTGGTGCTCGACCTCGGAATTCGGACGTCGAGCCAGCCGTGCCTAGTCCGATCTGGCTCAGACCAGCCATTCAGGTTCCGTACTTCCCCTGCGGGTTTTGCATGAAGCCGTGGGCGAAAAACCCCAGTTGCCGCCAGTCGGGCCAACCCGTCTTTTGTTGGCAAGGCGCCAAAAGTTCTGGACATGGGCCCGCCGCTCATGGCGACCAGTCGTGTCCTTGTTATTGGCACCAGCACCAGCGCCAGGCTCATAAGTACCATCTTGATTTCCACACGCGGGTAGTTGCGTGCGACAATCCCTGGCCACGTGATCGAGCAACCACAAAGGGTCACTACTAGGCGACGAGAATGTCTTGATTTTGATCACGCGCTCGTCGCTCATTCATGAGTAGTGGCTCCTAGCTTGCAGGTTGAGTTCGTGAAAAGAGACGGCACTGAGGGAGCTGAGCTGAGCATAGTGCAACGCTGAATCAGCCGCCTGTGACAAGATGATGGTGTTGTCTTCCCTCCTTCATGGGTGTGGTTGGAGCAATTCGACATCCCCCCGAAGCAAATAGAGGCGAACTCGACAACACAGACCTTGGCGAATTGCCACAGATATGAAGAGACGGGTGGGACGTAGGGCCTCGCGCCCTTTCTCGCCATCACTTTGGATGCGCCAAGACTTGTGGGCCCTCCCACAATCTGGTTCTCCCATTTACACGCCAGCGTGGTTGAAAATTGTGATCGGAGGAATGCTCATCCGATCTCATCGGAGCCCAATGCCTCGTAGCAAAACTCCAAAGTCGCCGAAAGAACTCTGGTAAGTCCAGTCGGGAGGCAAAGAGGAACCCATGCGAACCGCCGCATCCTTTCACAGCGGGAAATTGATGCAATACTCGACCGGGAGAAGCTGCGGCTTATCGTGGACACTGTGAATTTCCATCACAACGTCCAGAGTCATCCCAGACTGTTCCCCGGTTTGATCCTATTTGTGCAAGTCTTTTGTTGTGTAACCATAGAAATGAAGGGTCATTTCCGAACGCTGTGCTTGACCATCACCGTCCGTTCTCAACAAGAGCATGAGTTGGCGGTGCCATCTTAGCGAGAGCTCAAATGCGAGGAAATTGACCGCTCACTTGACTCGCGCCTACATATACAGTGTAATATACAGCCAGCCGGAGGTGGTGGAAGCGGAACCCAAGGACCTCTTGGGCGGAAAGAAAGCACGATGATGCTCTGACATGGAATATTGAAACGGTCTGTGGTGCGTAGCTCGTCGGCCAGTCAGTCCCCAAACGGAATTGACCAGAAGCGGCAACACTGAAACCCCGACATTTTGGAGATTATCTCTGGTCTGCCCTGATTCGTGGAATGGATACAAGTCGTTGCGTCGTCAGCTGGCTTTTCCATGACTGATACTATCAACCTCGATCAGCAAAGGCCCCTTGGACCAGCATGAGTCTGTCAAGTTCTATATACACCTCAAGCCAACAGCACCGACACAGAAGTTGAGACATGAAAAAGAATGGGGGGAAAGTTTTCAACATTACTCGTGAAAGGAATTGCAGCAGAAGACATTGTCGATGGCTCCAGGGCCCGGAAATATCTGACATTCGCAATCAGATCGATACTGCAGTCCGCGGGTACGCCTCACCAAGCGACCCCCACGAGTCTATGCTCCCTCACATGATCAAGGCTGTGTGAAGAGCAAGAGACCTCTGCCCGGAGAAGCCGTAACTCGGCTGGCTGTGACAAAGAACCGTACGTGCCCGGAATGGAAGAGGCCCGAAACACACAGAGTTGGGAGCGTGAACGACCCACAAGCGGGTGTGTTGCTGACTGTAACATATTATTTATATTCAGTAGTAAGCTTGTCTCAGCTTATACCTCTCTAGACGAAATATAGGAACCTGCTCGCGACTCAACCCATGGTCTCCTCGGCTGTTTGCTCAACCTCCTACCCTCGTAACTCGAGAAGAGCGAGGTTCTGCTCATGTTGCTCGGAGGGAACTCCTGCCAACGAACCGACCGTTTCCTACTCAGCGCAAGAGCTGCGCCGTTCGCACGGCTCAGAAGACCGCCAGCGTTCCGACCCGCCCTCGAATCGTCCACAGCGCGGCTGCCGTTCTGGCCAGGCCTCTCGCTCACGTCCAGCACACCCCAGTCTTCTGTCTCGGCCCACATTTCCTCCTCGGAGACATCACTATACCGCAGCGGGACGGTCGCCCCGAACCTGAAGCTGCGGTTGGCAGGCGCCATGAGCGCCTCGTCGGCGCGCATGCGGGCCATGTGCCACTGGATCCAGTACATCTGCTCGTGCTCGCGCAGGTAACGCTCGCCATGGAACCCCTTGAGGACGACACCGCGCGAGAGCATGCCAAGCTCGCGGCGGAACTCGGCCTTCTCGTACATGCGACGGGTGAGCCACTCGACGTCCGAGTCCCTGATGACGTCCGGCAGGGAGAGGCTGGCGGGCACGGCCTCCTTGTCGCCGACCTCGCCCGTGAACTTGGACCACGGCCCCACCATGGACAGCATGGCGATTTGTGCGCGGGCGAGCGCCACGGGGTCGTTGGGTGGGACGACCTCGCCGTACTTGCGGTCCTGGTCGTCGGGGTCTGTCAGGACCAGCGCCGTGGCGCCGACCGAGGTGGCAACGATGGGCACGCCCGCAAGCGCAGCCTCGGCGATGGCGAGAGGCAGACCCTCGGAAAGGGACGAGTTCATGAACAGCCAGGCATCCTTGAGAACCTCCTGCGGCCGGCCAAACCCGCCCAGGATGACCTTGTCAGACATCTTGCACTGCTGGATGAGCTTCACCATGTCGATCGTATAGCTCGGCTCCCGGTCTTGGGCACCGTAGACGACGAGCTTGTAGTCCTTGAAGCCGAACTTGTTGATGATGACGTCGGCGGCCAGGATTGCCGTCCGCACGTCCTTTATGAACTGGACGTTGGACAGCATGATGACGGTCGGCACCTCGGTGCGGACGTGATCCACCGGCTCAAACGCGTCCATGTTCCCGACGCCGTTCACAATGGGGTCGATCTTGCGGCGGAACTGGTTCCTGTGGCTGACCTTGCCCATGTCGGTGCCAAGATCAGCCTCCCAGATGGGGTTGAAGAAGGAGGTGCAAGGCAGGATGACATCGGCGTGGAAGTAAGCCAGCTTTGTTGCCAGGCCGATTCCGGCAAGGAGCATGGACTGCACCGGGATCGAGAGCTCGCACTGCGCGGGCGAGATGTTGAGGCAGCACTCCCGCCAGAGGATGGCGTGGTCCCAGATGCCGAACGTGGTGCCTCGCTTGTACTTGAGCAGCATGCCGAACAGGCTGCTGATGCCATGGTGGGTGCTCTGGAACACCTGGGGGCAGTTCTCGGGAGACTGGACGCTGAAGATGAAGAAGTACGACTTGTAGATGGCCAGCGCGTCCCTAAAGTCCGTCATGCTCGGGCGGGACAGCTCGAACCAGTCGGAAGGGTCCGTGATGTCGGCGTCGTCGTAGCTCTCCAGCCATGCCTCGGCCCACGCGGCAGCGACCTCCTTGCTGTTGTATGCCTCGTTGTAGTCCTTGTGCTCAAAGAACTTGAACATGGTGAGCATGATGTTGCTGTAGTGCAGGAGCCCCGGCCGGTCTATGTGGCGCGACCTGGCCCCCTTGACAAACTGCTTGAGCAGGGGCACGAAGGTGTTGATGATGTCCCGCTTGATCTCGGTGTTCCCGATCTTGCGGTCAACCTCGGACTGGAGGAGGTTGTCGATGACACCATGGTTGGGCGTCTTGCCGTCCAAGCCCCACAGAGGCAGGATCTTTAGTGACTGGACGTTCTTCTCGATCTGGAAGCGAGGGATACCGTACTCGTTGGCAGACTCGGCAAGGACGTGGTTCCGGATGGTGCTGTGGCCGTTGACGAGATCGCGCCGGCAGTTGGAGACGCCACCAGGCGATTCGGGCCAGCAGCCAACGTCGTTGAAGATGACCGAGATGCGCTCCTGGGTGTCCTTGAAGCAGTCCTCCGGGCGAGTCGTCATCTGATTTGCGTCCTTGCCCAGCCCCATGGCATAGAGGTCAGAGGCCTTGATGGGCAGCATGCAGACCTCCGAGACGTCCTTCTCGAGCTCGATGGCGGCGACGATCCGCTCAATGTTCTCGTCGAGTTCTTTCTTCGCGGCCGTCAGCTGCCCGGACGAGCGGTAGGACCAGTACTTCAGAAGTGTGGGCTCCTCGCGCAGGATCAACTCGTCCATCCAGCACGCGGTGATTCCGTCAAGCGAGTTGGACTTGAGCCAGTTGTTCCAGAGCTCGGTCCGGAGCCACCAGGTGGGCACGCGAGAGTAGACCTTCTTCTTGTGCCAGTAGTTCCACGCACCGGGGTTGATGACGGTCCTCAGGGACTTGACAGCACGGTTGCTACCGATGTACTTGTAGATGCGGCGCACGTCAGCCCTGCGGTGCCGGATGAACAGATCGTCGTTCTCGAAAAATACGTCGGTCGGCCGCGTCTGCATCATCTGCTCCTCCGGGAAGACCTGCGGGGGCTGCGCAATCAGGCAGCGCGCCCCGTTCTCCTCCATGACGGTGACCATGGTCGGGTCACGCCGGTGGGCATAGTTGCTGGTGGTTGTGTACGTCTTGGCGTCGATCTTGCGCACCATTCGACAGACGCGGTCCGAGGGCACCCAGTCGAGTTTCGTGCCGACGTCAGCACGCAGAGGCACGCCCCAGTAGACGACCAGGCTGTCCTTCTTGTCGGACTTTGCAAGCTTGAACTCGGCACGGAGGATTTCGTGACTGCTCTTGGGGCTGGACTTGTACGAGTAGGTGAACTCGTATTCCTTGTCGCCAAAGATCATGTCGCCGTGGGTGACGCGCCCGTACTTGTCGTAATAGCACTTCTTGTAGTTCTGGCCCTCGACAACCTCCTTGAAGGCTGGCCACCTCGTGCGGGTGTCCTCACCGTAGTTGTACGTGGAGAAGATCCAGGGGTTCGCCTTCTTGTTCTTGCCAGTCGCCTTGTCCTGACGGTTCGAGAGTCGGAAGGCATTGTCGTACACTGCCGTGGACACGGGCTCTACTTCGGTGGGACGGGTCGAGAGCTGCTTGTCAAAGATCTCCAGGGTGATGGAGTTCTGCTCGTTGTGTGCCGCAAAGCCAGTGATGACCTTCCTCAGCTGTTCAACAACAACCCTGTCCTTGACGAGTGTCCTGGACGCCCCCTTCTTCGCGAGGCGGGAAATGCGCACCAGGTTCTTGCGGTGGTAGATGAGAAGGACGTAAACCCAGATGTTCTTAAGGAACCAGCAGAATCGCCAGAACGTGAGGATCACCCACAGGATCGGTCCGCGCGCGTACGAGTACCGGAAATTGTACCACAACTCCCTTTCCACGTCCGAGCCGGCACCGGTGATGATGCCGACCCACTTGGTGAACGTGTTCGGGATGGACGAGACGGTCTCGACAAGACCCAAGAAGAAAGTCTGCTGGCGAGGCCCCATGTGCACTGGCGCGCAGTGAAGCTCTGACTTGGAAAGCGGCGCTGTGCCCGTCTCCAGCGAGTAGTCGGCGTTGATGTGCTCACGCTCTAGTGTCTTTTGGTAGATGGTCAGGGCAGTCTCAAGGTGGAAATCCGAGGTCTGCAGGTCGATGGACTGGTTGGCCATGAACTGATGCAGGTCCCTAGACACCGACACGGGGTCACCGAGGATGCGGCAGAAGATGACCTCGCGGACATAGGGCGGTAGATCACGCCACTTGCTGTCGACATGGATGCCGAGGCAGAGGTGCTTCATGATCTTGAGATTGGTCTTGCGCTGGATCTCAAGGAGAGTGGGCAAGTCGGACGTCGACAGCTCGAAGTCGATGCGTCGAGACAATTGCTCCGTCTCGTGGAGGAAATGCTCGGCCTGGATGGCACGCTGGCGGTCCATGTGGAATATTGCACGAGCGGTGTGGAAAAGGATGGCCTCGGTGGCAAAGTAAGCGAGCAGGGGCTGCCATGTCGGAACATTGATCTCGTCCTCCAGGAGGTAACCTGTCGAGATCTCCAGCATGTTGCCGTCGTACCGGCTGAAGGACATTGAGCTGCCGAAGCCCATCTCGATGAAGGAAGTGCGGGTGCTGAGATTCAGCTCAATCCTGCCCGCCTTCCACATCTCGAGTGCAACCTTCAGGACGTCCTCGGACCACGCTGCGTTCTGGGCATGCACGTTGGGCTGCCCAATGCCAAGGCGCAGCAACTCCGGGATCCTATCGCAGATGAGGTTCGAAGAATTGACCGTGACCTTGTTCCCGGGGAGGTCTTTCCAGGTGGCGACCTCGGAAGTCTCCGAGACTGCCATGCTCGGGTTGGACAGACGGGGCTGCGTCCACCCAGTCGAGACCCCGCTGGGCACATGGTTCTTCCGCACTGGCTTCTGAATATGCAGGTCTTTCCACACGAAGAAGGTCGTCAGGACAGCGGCCATGATTGCAGCCGTGTTCAAGGCGATCACGTCTGTGTAGAACGGCTGCTGTTTGCCGTAGATGCCATGGATGGTGCAGCCGACGACGAAGCCCGCCACGGCGCCGGAGAGAATGGAGCCGACGTGGTATTTGACATCGGTGGTGAAGCATCGGTTGAACTGGAAAATCATGACCGCGGTGTAGGCAATGACGTAGGCGTAGTACAGAACGATGAGCTGCTGGTCCTTGACAAAAAGCCAGACAAAGATGGAGGAGAAGCCAAGCCAGAAGACCAGTCTCTGGGACAGCTCGAGCAGGGCGCCCACATACTTGCGCCGGCGGCTCCTCTCCCAGTCCTCCTGGACAAGCCGGGCGTGGTCGAAGTCGGTCAGCTTCTCCTCCGACAAGGTGTAGTTGCCCGACCAGTAGTTCTGCAGCGTCCCATCGAGCGTCATGACCGAGGAGCAAAAGTACAGGATGGCAAAGCAGATGGCGTAGCGGGCCGTGTCATCGGTGAAAATGATGATGGGTTCGTTGCGGGCGCTCATGACGATACTGACCCATCTGTCCATAAGCGCAACCAGGAAGAGGCCGACGCTGGACCCGATATCGAAGCGGGCGTATCGGAACAAGATGAAAATGTTGTGTTCCTTGAGACCCTGGGCAAGCTGCTCCTGCGTTTTCAAGGCCTGGTTAACCTGGCCGAACCAGCCAGTGGTCAGGGTCTCCGCCCTGGGCCTCGCAGGATCGTCCTTTTTCAGAAGCCAGTCCAGATATGGCATGCCCTGGGCGACACGCACCACCACAGGATCGGCAAGCTTGGTCTTGCCGAAGCCCAGTATACCGTCACTGTATGCCTCGACTTGCTGGCGGAAAGCCAGCAGTGCCAGTTTCTTTTTGGCCTCGGGAGACAGGTTTTCCTCCGTCTTCGTCCTTGTCCTCGCGAGGCACTTGCCTGTCTCTGAGACCATCTCGGATGATTCCTCCTCCGCGCTGGCCTCCATCTTGGTGTTGTACCAGCTGATGATATCTTTCTCTGTGATGCGAGGGATCTTGGTCATCCAATTCGACCACTCATGGCACAGCTGTCGGTATTGGAAGAGGATTATGACGAGAAAGCCGTAGATCACGGGTAGGTAGACTTCCACGTCGTGGCCAGGGACAAAGGTCGAAATGAGTGGCGAAAGGAAGAACACTGGGATCGTACGCCACAGGACGGTGCGGCCCGAAGTGAGTGGACTGCCATGCTGGTGCATCGTAGCCATGACGCCTAAAGAGTTGCTTGTTAGCGCAGGCCGTTCAAAGTCCAAGTAGATGAAGGGCAACGAAGCATACCTAGCACGTTCAGATACATCGAGATGGCAATGAGATACAGAATGAAAACAATGCCGGTGCCGACGTTGACCTTGACAGTGAAGATGATGAAGCCCACGATCCCAACAAGTACGGTGAGCACGAAGCCGCCTGAAAGTCGCTGCACATGGAAGTAGATCATGTTGTCGTAGGCGTACTGGCTCTGTGTCAGCTACTGCTCTCCTGTTTTCGGTCCGCGGCGCCGCTGGGGTGAGCTTACATTGCAAATATAGTAGTTCCCGATGCTTCCAACCCAGCCAGTGACACCGGCAGAGATCAGCAGCGACATCAACAGCGCATAACATGCGGCAGTGAGGTGCTCGTTACCAAGCCACGCGGTCATGAACAGGCCGCGGCCAAGGAAGGTCAGCAGCAGGATGTCGATGATGGCGGGGAGGCAGAAGATGGAAAGCGCGCCGAATTCTGCGAACTTCTTGCGGAGTTGGGTGACCGTCTTGACGAAACCCTTCCGCGAAGGGCCGTCTGGATCCATCTCATCGCTTCCCGCAGAACCTGGATCCGGCTTGGAAAAGACTGTCATGATCTTCTTGTCCTTGAACCCCTCCGGCGGAGGGTGCTCCCCAAGGAACTTGCGATAGCGGTCGTAGATGATTTCGCCCAAATCTCGAGGGGGCATGCCGAAGTAAGACTCACACTGGGAGCCGAGGGCCCAGAGCTCCGAGAACACGGCGGCCTGGTCGGGCTGGGAGAGGAAGAAGGGGCAGCGGTCCGTGGTCTCGATGTAGACGTCCTCAAAGGCGCCCTTTCGCAATGCGGAGAAGAAGATGAGCGCGAAGAGATCCGCATTCACGTCGACGTACTCGCAGTCCGACGTCCATGAGCCCCAGGGGTCATAGGCGTGCAGCAGCGAGTCGTTGAGCATGTTGAGCCTCTCACGGTCTCCCGCAAACAGGGCGTCGACCACGATCCTGTCGACGTAGCGGGAGAGCAGCAGCAGGTTAGCGATGGAAGGGAGCCTGTTTGCCCCAAGCCGTACAAAGTCCTGAGACCGGCGGCGGAACAGTGTCTCCATGTCTGCCGACCCGCTCAGGATCCCCTGAGACGCCGCGTGGTTCCATGACTCCGTCGCGGCCTGGTCCAGGAGGACTGAGCGGCAGTGCTCCTCGATGCCGTACTTGAAATGGTGTGTCATGTCGGACACCTTGATCTGCTCCAGCAAGAACAGCGTCTCGGCCGGGGTGGCGGTCTCGATCTGGTTCCTGATGCTGAGGGGCAGGGCGACCTCGTCGAGCCCCGGGTTGAGCGTGCGCTCAAACTGGAGCTCTTCCTCGTACCGCTCAATGCGGGGGACGTCGTGGTGTGCCAGCCACGTGTGCAGGATCGTGGCGATGTCGCTGGGGCAGCGTCGCGAGATGAACAGATCTATCTCGCCCAGCGTCGAGTCCCGGTGGGAGTGTGCCTTGCCGACCTTGTGCGCGGCGGAAACGCCCCAGAATTCAGCAGTGTTGTCGGGCATTGTGAACCCGCGCTTCCGAGGCCCTTGTAGATGAAGATCCTCCGCTGCTTGAGCCCACCGACGAGGTTGCCGACGAGGTCGGCGTACTTGGAGGCGGCCGAGAACTGCTCGAGGGCCTGGATGAGCTTCGTCAATTCGGCATCCGTGATGCGCTGCAGCATCTTCAGGTTCCGGAGATGGATCTGGGTGTCCAGTATGGCCTCGTGCTGGGCAGTCGTGGGCTCGCTCAGCAGAGGCACACAGCCGTAGAGTGATATCTGCTCCCCCTGGGATGTGCGCTCCCAGTCCTCACGGTACGGCCCGTCGGGGACATAGTCCGGGGGCGACACTTTGATAGGTCGCTCCACCCTCAAGGCCTGCAGGTCCTCGGGCAGAGGGAGCGGCCTGAGGAGCTCGTCGATGTTTGGGATGAGCTGCTGCAGTTCGCCAAACGGCAGGCTGGCGACCTTCTCGATCGAGTCCCGACGCCCATTTCCAACGTGTGTGATGCGCTTTCGTTGCATCCACGAGCTCTGCAGCTCGGACGTCTCAGTCCGCCGCAGGTATTCGAACGCACTCAAGCTCGTCGGCATCCTGACGGCAGCGCTCGGTGAGCTCGTCGGCGACGGCACCGGCCCATGCTCGAGTACTGCCGCGAAGTGGTCGGCAAGCTTCGCGGACCTACGCACCACGGCCGCCGACGGGCGGCTGTTCCAGCGATCAAAGAAGCCGACAAAGAAGCTCGGTCGCTCTATCCGCTGGTCCGCACACTTGGCCATGACGTCCCGCAGCGCCAGGGAGCGGAAGTAGTCCCTCCTCTTCCCGTCCTCAAGGATACAGGCATTCTCGACGATGATGCCTGCAAGGAACTTGAGGTTGACGGCCTTGAGGACCCTGCTGTCGTGGTGGCACTTGAGCACCACGGGCACCTGGAGCTCGCACAGCCGGATGAGAATGTCAGGGACGGATGCCACGTCATCGTCCCTGAGCAGGCCGACATCGATGACAAGGCCCACCACAGCGTTGTCGCTGTATATGTTGAAGAGGTAGTCCACCGTGTGAGAGGCCGCGGGCCCTGACACGCTCTCTGAGGACAGGTCCTGGCCGTCGACTAACCCGAGGACCGGCGTCGATGCCGGCACGCCGGCGATGGTGCTCGACGTCTCGGAAAATGAGCCTTGGTCCGTGTCGTCGAGGGCGGCGGCCGCCGCGAGGAACGGCAGGGCGACGACGAGGAGGTCATGGTCAGCACTCGTCTTCCCCAGGTTCGGGACAGGGCTGTCCTTTCCAAAAATACAGTAGGACTGCACCGCCGACAGATCCAAGCACGGCGACGGCTCCAGCGCCTTGGCCCTTTCCAGCGTTTTTGCCTTATTTGAGCTGCTATACGGTCAGCCTGGGGCCCTGATGCACCTTTGCGTAGTTCTGCACGCACCTTTTCCTCGACTTGTTCCACGCCCGCAGCGACTTTAATGACCGATCCCCCAGATACAGGAGGGTCGGGATCCCGAGGGAGACAACGGCCAGTACGAATGTGAACCACTGAACCGGGCTGACGAGGCGGTCCTTGCTTGGTAGGATGGAGTTGCAGTAGATCTCCCAGGGTGTGTTGTTGTTGCAATTCTCGATTGCTGGGTCTCCTGACAGAGGAGGCTGAAAGAAGGAGGCCATGATGCTGAGCGAGTGATGGCGAGGGCGAGACTGTTCAGACGCCCGTAGTGAGGCCTAGCTATGCGGACACCCGACGACTAAGAGCGTCCAAGGGGCGAGGACGACCAGAAAAGCGAGGGTGACATTAATGATTATTGGAAGCGACACAGGACCTTTTGCGGGTATCAAAACATGGCTTGGATGGAATCAATACACATATGCCGGCGAAGGGGGCGATTGTGATGGGGCCGAGTCGATGAACCTTCTCGTCGTTGTGGGATAGGGACGGGCTTGATGGGCGAGCGACTGACGGATGAGATAACCGAGTCCTGGGCAGTATCGAAACAAGGGGCCGGGAAGAGAGGGGGGGGGAGGACAGAAGAAGTAAGTGTAGTAGAGACGGAAGAATATAGGAGGGGAACGATCAGACTTGCTATCCGCACATATCAAAAAATGGCCACGGTTCGGAAGGGCAGGATACAGCTTCGGGAACGAGAATGGGACAGTGAGAGGACAAAGACAAGAGAGAGCGTATGGTAGGCCTGGCTGAGCAGGCAGCGTGACAGGCAACACAGACGATGGACCGGGCCAACAAAGCAAATGCTAGCCCATCTCAAAACACGAACGAAATCGTCAATCATCCGAAATAGAACCTGGCCCTGGGCACACTGCCCGGCTGGTTGGTCGGACGTGCTCTGTGAGTAGCAAGTGGGCCCCAGTTCTCGGTCCCCAGCGAGCCAGCAGCCAGCAGGCGGCAGCAGGAGGCCCAGGTCGGTCGGCCAAGAGGACCAGGAGCGAAGTTGCTCAGGTGCTGCGCGCTCGCCTTGACGCCGGCTGGACCGACCAGGGTCCGTGATGGCATGGCAAGGGTCCGATGAGCCAGCATCTGGGGCACGTCAGGGATCTTGATGCTCTGGTATAGGGGGTTGCGATTCGTTGGTAGCATATGATCCACACGAGGTACACGTTACCGTACTGGCCGTGTGTATATGCATGTATGGATGTGGTCTTGTCCGGTGCGTTGCAGTCCAACCCATTCCCCCCTCCCCCCCCAAAAAAAGCACCCAGTCCGGTAGGTGCTCGTACCAACATAATCGAGCGGTGCCGTCTGTGTCACGCCACTAGGGCGCCGCCGGCGCATGTGCTGGTATAATTACACTATAGGCACCACGATAATCCAACAAAGAAGATCGTGGGTGGGCCGCAGCGACGGGCGGAATAGTCCAGGTGGAAACGGCACGCTCGACGGGCACGGCTCACCAGCATGGTGGGAACTTTGGGACTCGGGCTGAAAGGAGTCAAACCCACCTCGATCGCCCCCCCCCCGAAATCCTTTGGAGGTGCAGCAGTGCGCAGAGCTGAGCCCGAGCCCAAGTGGGCTGAACTGGACTGGACTGTATGCGAGCATGTAGCCTGATAGATGGAGATAGTCCCGACTTGTTGAGCTCCAAACAAGACAGTTGTCGAAAAGAAAAATCGCAGGCTTCGCTCACCGCTTCTGGAAGACGAGCGAGGCCGGGAAAACGAGGCGCTGTTCTGCAGATGCCGATGCAGATCTCACCTGGCCACCGAGACAAAATTCGAGGGCTTGCGCTTGGCCGCATTCGGGCTTGTTGAAATCGCCCCGATAAGGCAATGCCCCCATAGTGTCTCCCGGTCCTCGTTCCTTCGCCCCGCGGCGCCCCTTTTTTAATTTATCCCCACATGGAGGCAATGCCGGAATGGCATCAACGGACATGCAGGCGTGGAAATTACCCGGATCGCTGATGAAGACATAGTACCTGATATCGAGGATCCGCCGAGGGACGAAAACAGAACAGGCCGGGCCCGTACCACCCTGTCTGAGTGTCTGACCTGTAAGCAATGCTCAGCGTTGCGCGCTGGCTGCGAGGGGAAGGATGCGTGGGCTCCCGAGCATTGCAGATATTGCCCAGCTGCCACTTGGGCCGGGCGGGCCGCTGCCGGGAGCGACTGGCAGCAGCTCGGCCTTGTGGTGAAACATATGCGTCCAGTAGTGTCGGTGTTGGTAGGCTGCGTGCGAGTCGACTGTGGACTCTGCAGCAAGACTGCGGAGGCCTGAGCATGGCATGATCAACGATGATCAACACTGAACATCACGGGGTGACACGTCAATGCCAATGTTGGGCGCGTGCGTGCAAGGTTCGGCGCCACGCGGGGGCAGATCAGCGTGGAGGACGACAAGACCAAGAGAGGAAGCGAGAGACATGCGCACACGAGGAGGCACCTTTGTCGCCGTGCCGCGCTGTGCTGCGCTGCGCCGTGCCGCGCTGACGCTGACTGACGCTGGTGGTGCTGGGTGGTGCAATTGAAGGCGGTGGCCCATTTTTGGGAGCCGGCCTGGTGGGCTTGGTGGTGCTGGTGCAACCCCGGATTTTTGATGGAAATTGCTAGGTTACACGGCACGGCGCCCCCCAAGTTCGGAATTGCGAGTGCGAGTGGCAGGGCCCTTTGGAAAGAGGCACAAGTGGCTGCAGATCGATCATCCTGATCCGATCACTGCTACCTGCGGCAGACCCACGCGCAGACCACGAAGGAATAGGGCACGGCATTCAGGGCAGAGACAAGACACACAACACACACACACACACATATGTTCCACCTGTTTGTTCCATATGCAGGTGTCAACATGTAACAGGCTGGGGGGCCCTTGAGTGGCCTTGAATCCTGCCACCGCATGAACAGGTATACTGCGTCATGCTCACTGGGGCATTGGGTGTGGTACCTTGGGTGCTGATGTAAATACGGACATGTAAAATGAGGGTCACTGCAGAAAAGGGGGGGTGTGCTGCCATTGTTTGGGACTGAGGGACGGAAAAGGGGAGCGGGGTGGCTGGCGTTGGGCCGGGAAAGGGCCCTTGAGAAATCACTCCCCGACCGAGCATTGTGTGGTACGAGCCGCGCGGTATGTACAAGCCCGGTACACACGCTTCCTTTTTTCTGGGGCGTCTGGATTTTTAAGCTTATTTTAGTGTGTGTTGTTTTATGCCAGAAACGGGGAGCAGGATGCCCCTTTGTGCCACACATGCATGCATGCATGCTTGACTGCCACCCAGCGACGATGGACGCTATACGCATATCTGCATGCACGGCCGCGTCCGTATATGCATGTTTGCCCCCATACAGGCATGGCAAGTATCGCACAGAACCTGTCGACCAGGCCCCACCCGCGTGATACCCGCTCCACTCGAATTGAGCCTCACCTGACCGGCATGATGGTTACGGTGGGTCACCTCCGCTCGGGGATATCCCCATGCCGATGGGGTCACGGTCGCAGCACTGCAGTAGCGCCTCTGTTGCAGGCTCTCGTCGCCACACTTGACTGGAGACTGGACATGGCAGAGAGCGAGTACGGTGCAGGTGCAGGGGCCGGATTTGTGGGAACAGCCACACCTGGCCCCCTAGGCACGCACCGGCTGCTCTTGGCATAGCTCGTGTTGGTTTTCTACTTTCACTCTGCCCACTTGATCTCACAGCACTTGCACCCTGACGGCGTGCTGACCAGCAGGGCAAGCAGGACGAGCAGCGCGTTCGCGACTGTCGAATCCAGTGCTAGCCGCCAGCCGTCGGCAGCAACGTCCAGCGAGCGCCGGCTCGTCGTCAACATGGCATGCTGCACAGCCACCGACCAATGTGCTTGCTGTGTCGAGGGCATTGGACATGGACAGACCACCGGCGTGCTGACTGTCCAGCTGTGGCGTGCGTCGCTCTCGCCTTGCCTCGCCCCCCACCAGCCGATGGCTTTGCCCAGTTCGGCCGACCCCTTTCCCTCCTACCCGCCCCGGCGGCGAGAACCAAAGCACCATCAGGGAATAGAGTCCTGACTCACTCACTCACTCACCCACCCACCCACCCAGCAACCGTCCCGGCGTGTGTGGACGTGCACAGACTTCAATGGTGTTGTCTTCCCCCGTCGACTTGGGCCCCCGAGAGCCACCGGAGAGCCACCACAGCACACCACCACAGCACGCTACGCTGTGCACCGCACGGGCTGTCTCCTCCCTTCATCTTATTTGGTTTCCGCCCTCCTCGCCCACGTGTCGTGGTGCTAGCTAACATGTGGCGGCGGCGAAGACATGCTTCCTTCTTCAGCGCGGCGTGACCGCCATCGTCAACGGCGACGCAGCCCACTCCAATGCACTCCACTCCACGTGCAGTCTTGCATTCTGGACTCGGCCTGACGCCCAGGAACACCCGTCCTCACCCGTCCTCACCCGTCCTGCGAGCCTTTGACCTTCCTGTTTGGCTTTTTTTGTGCCCGACATTCGACATTGTGTGGGTGGAATGAATAGATAGCCTGGTCCAGAGAAGACGGCCCCCCCCCTCCCCCCAAATAAATCTGCAGATGGCTTCCCAGGGTTCCTGCACCAACACACCCGCCCAGAGAAATTCTAGACTCCAATTTCAGAGCGCGCCCCCCCCCCCCAAATTGGGGAGGAGGGGCCTTCAAACCACCCATGATACCACGGTGGACCTTGCTCCGTGCGACTGTTGACGGACCCGAAACGCCGAGCTGCCCTCGGATGACAAAGTAGTCGGTCTGTAGTTGGGATACACAGCACACTGATGACTGCGCCCCACATTCTGGACTGGTAGTGACTGGTAGTACAGACGGCCAGGCCCCTGGCATGCTTCTACCGCGTTCTACTGCAGCAAGCTGAATATGCCCGTACGCCCATATGCTCATATGCCCCTGACACCAAGCTTATAACGGCATCGCGGGCCCATGTGCGGCACCACTAGTGTACGTACCTGGCTCCCCGTCCGAGCTCTGGCTGACTGGCCGCCTGGCTTCCTCACCTCAGCCTCTCCCGCAGCTATTCCTGCTAACTCGCGGTGGCGCCAAGATGCCCCTGGCTAAGAGGGCAGAGGCTTGATTTTCGCGACCAACGAAAAAACAAAAACAACATCCAAGTTTTGATCCGTCATCACACCTCGGGCGCCCTCCAACGTCCTTGGCCCGTCAGAGCGCCTCTACTAGGCCGACCTCGTAGCGCGCCGCTGCCTGGCTCTCTCTCGCTCTCTCTCTCTCTCCCTCGCTCTCTGTCGCTCTCTCTCCCCGTCTGTGTATTTGTGGCTCTCGTCACACAATCTCCCTGGGTCTCGGGACTTGGACCCGACGGCAGACCGAGCGAGGCCGCTTCCCAGCTGAACTCGCAGCACACACGCATGGCCGCCGTGGCGAGACCCGACGCTGTTTTCTTCTAGTGCCCGCCTGAGTTTGGGTTCTACAGCATGCACTGCTACCTACATACAATGCTCCTCCGATGCCTGACTGTATCGGGGGCCGCTCCTACCCAGCAGCAGCAGCAGCAGCAGCAGTAGCAGCATCATAGCTTCAGCGTCGTATCCAGATCACGCATTATCCCTCCAATATCCAGCCTGTGCGCTCGACTATCGACTGCTCAGCTGTTCGCAGCCCGGGGCAGCCCTGGCGGGTTTTTCCCCTCCTCACACCCCCCGACCCCTGCCAGTCAACTGGCTGTTGGCTGTTACGGCATGCGGCTCTCACCACCACCCATGCACATGTAGTGCTGCAGCTTGCGACTTGCAGCAAACAGCTCGCCAGCTTGCTTCTTCTTGCCCTGTTCGTACGCCAAGCGGCTTCTTCGATCCAGCACACCGGGCTCGTGGCCCAGTGGCTTGCCCTGCGCCTCCTAAAATCGGCCGTGCCAGAAATCTGCAGAAGTCTATTGCGCCCCCCCCCCCCGGTGGCGTTCGGTGGTTTCCTCAATGGTTTGCGGCCCCGTTGTGGGATGGGATCCCTAGCGTCGAAACATTCTCTCCTCGCACCTTGCCCCTGGACCTGGTCGCCCGCCCACTCGGCCGCCGTCATTACGAGGTTTGGAAGGAGACAAGCGCTTGCAGCTAAACCCCTGGTGCCCTGTGCCATGTTCTTAGCTTCTTGGCGTTACAACAATTCATCAGCCCGATATTAGCAATACCGCCGTACGGTCTCTCCTATGGCCGGCACCAGCACCAGCAAAACTCTTCACCGGAAACTTATCCGGGGAAACAAAGCGGACAGGGCTCCCGCTGGGTGTGAGTGAGAGAGAAGGGGGGGTGTGTATGTCCCGTCTCGATGAAGCATCGAACACCATCGTCCACCGGGTGGGGCCACATCTAGTATGGGCTACATAGTACGTGCAGAGCGAGGTGACAAGGCCATTGTCGTCCACGCCTCTGGTCCGGGAGCAGTTCTGAGTATCGATCGGTCCACCCGACTGTGTGGTGCGGGCTAGGGAGGGGGCCTGCCAACCTTTCCTGTTTGTGCTGGTCTTGCTCGGGCACGTCCATTGCTCTGTTTCACCAACACCCGTTTTTCCCTTCCGCCCATGCTGCTATTTACGGCTGCCTACCACCATCTGCAGGCTATGGCCCGTGGCTCGCTTCGCTCCGGCGGGCGTCTGGTGTTGGATCCACGGGCGAGCTGACCGACCTATCGCGGAGCGTCACTACTCAATATTGGATTTTGTGCTCAGGCTGAAATTAATCTTTTACTTCTCTCCCTGTCCTACCTTAGCCTGTATATCATCGCCCACCTTACCGTCCTCCCAGAGACGATGCCTTTCTAGCGCCGCATCACCGGCCTTCCCCCACCGAGACTATCGTCTTCTGCTTCCGCTTACCTGCTCATCATCTTGCATGGCTACGACGTGATCTAGAGTCTAGAACCTCCCTCGCTCGTTACAAAAGAAGCCCTTCGTTTCTAGAAAATCTCCATCATCCTCCCCGCCCATCTCATCCAAGCCCAGCATCCTCATCCTCATCCTCATCCTCATCTGCACCCCCGTTGATCGTCATCATATCACTCGTTCTGCCCACCGCTGAACCATACATACACTCATTCATAATGGAATCACAAAGATCACAAGTATCACTGCGACTGGCTTCAAACATGGACAACTACACATCATCACAGGGCTCTTCGGAAGGCTCGCCCCTCTCCGCGGGCTCCCCCATTACCAACTCCCCCCTCAGCACACCAGACACAACCGACCTCGAGGACGCGCCTCCTCTGAATGTTGCAGACAACCATGGGCTGGGGCTTGGGCTCCACTCCGGGACGTCTGACCCGACATTCGTCCTCGTCATCGGCGGTCTTGGCTTCATCGGGTCACACACCGTCCTCGAGCTCCTGCGGGCGGGTTTCAATGGTATGCATACACATCGTCCTACCCGGAACATGGTGCCCACGCCAGCACGTCTTGGGTCCCCATAGCTGACAAGAAGCAGTGATCGTGGTGGACAACCTGAGCAACAGCTACGAGAGTGTGCTGCACAACATCAAGACCATCGCTGCCAAGGAGTGCAAGCAGAGGAACGCACAGATGCCGCTTGTCCACTTCCACCGCGTCGACTACAGGAGCCGCTCAATGCGATTCCTGCTCGAGAGCTACACAGACCTCGTCCCCGTGCGGGAGACATCGCCATCAGACTCGGATGACACTGACAGGCAACGCATGACTTACCAGTCGCGCATCACAGGCGTGATCCACTTTGCCGCATTCAAGTCGGTGTCCGAGTCGATCGACAAGCCGCTCCAGTATTACAACAACAACGTGTGCGGGCTCGTATCCCTCCTGGAGCTGCTCGACAAGTTCTCCATCCGGAACTTCATCTTCAGCAGCTCGGCCACCGTCTACGGCTCCAAGGCCAACGCGGGCGTCCGCCTGCGCGAAGAAGACCTCGTCCACCTTCCAGAAGCCGCCCGCGACCCGGAGACCAATGAGACGGTGCAGCTCACGCCCGCCGTCGCGGGTCTGACGTGCCCCTACGGGCGGACCAAGTACATGGCTGAGGCAATCCTGGCAGACCTCGCCGAGGCGGACGACCGCTGGCGCATCATCGCGCTGCGCTACTTCAACCCCGTCGGCTGCGACCCGTCGGGCCTGCTGGGCGAGAACCCCCGCAACGTCCCCACGAACCTCTACCCCGTCATCACCCAGGTCCTCACGGGCGACAGGCCCAAGCTCGACGTCTTCGGGTCTGACTGGGACACCCGCGACGGTAGCGCCGTGCGGGACTTTGTGCACGTGCTTGACGTCGCACGTGGGCACATCGCCGCCCTGCGGCCCGCACCAGCGGCCCAGGAGCAAGAGGAGGGTTCTGGCGCGGCCGCTAAGCTGGCAACGGGGTTCCGCGCCTACAACCTCGGTAGCGGCAATGGAACGACCGTCATCGAGGCCGTGCGGTCACTAGAGCAGGCGGCGGGCAAGCCAATTCCTGTCAACATGCAGGGCCGCAGGGCGGGCGACGTTGGCAGCTGTGTCGCCAGCAACGAGCGCGCCTCGCGTGAGCTCGGGTGGCAGCCGCGCGAGAGCATCACGCAGTGTGCCGTCGACCTGTGGAACTTTGTGAGCAGGGTGGTCACGGTCAAGCCGGCTGCATGATCTGGATCTGGATCTGGATCTTGATCTTGATCTTGATCTTGCTTGATTTTCGATCTTGGTCCGCCAGAGCTGATGCCGATCATTCTCGTCCAATCAACGCAACCATCAAGTGGGTGTGAAAGGTCGCTTGAAGGAACAGGAATCTATCAGCGACGATCACCTGCGGGCCAGTGGGCCGTGGCTGGTCCGGGCCGCCGATCCTCAACCCCCGGCCCCGAGCAGAGCTGATGAAGGTACGGAAAACAGTACAGTGTGACAAGGAAAGCTACGGTGTGGCTGGAGGTGAATGCCCCCGCGTTCTAGTCGCGCGGGCCACTCCAGAGTACAGTCAGCACGCCCAAAACCTGGGGCGTCTTGCATGCGGGCTTGGGCGGTCTCTGTCTTCTCTCATTTGCGCTTTGCTTTTTTTCCTCGTCACGTGTCGGCCATGATGCATCTCCTGCATGAGCCGCGATCTGGAGTTGGTTTTGTTCAAGCTGGATAGACTGCATGCACAATGGACGGAGGCAAAAAGGGCCGAAGCAAAAGTCTGGATTGGGATAGCGATGTTTTTCCTGTTTTCTTTTCCCCCTCCAAACCGTCACGCAGCGCTTTCATTTTAGGTGCCGAAAATTCATAATGTCTATTAAACACAATCTATTAATAAGAGTCTACCACAACATGGCTCTTGCGCAGTTGATTCTTGGAAACCACATGCCCCACGCCGACCGGCCATTAAATTGAATGCAGGTGGCTGCAGCACCCGTAGATGGCAGCTCAATATTGGAAAACGTCGAGCTCGACGCGCAAGCTTCACATCTTCTACACTACCACTTTCCGGTCCTGGACATCGCGCCATCACGTCAGACCTCATCTCATCGATAGATTCCGCAAAGCTGCTCTGTACCACCCTCCTACTCGGAGACCGAGGATCAACCGACTTGCGTGCTTAGACGCAAATCAGAATTAGCTTCTAAACGTCACCTGCTGCCGGACAGGACAGGCCAGGTCACCGAGTGCCAAAGACCAACGCTGTGCCGTGCACACGTGTTCACGTCGAACGGCAAATGCAGTCGCCATGACCCGTTGCTGTCGTTCACAGCGGGATGCGGCCCGACATCAGTAGCTAGCTGAACGGCCTGTTGAAGATGTATGCGTATGTAGACTAATATAGAGTGCTTTTGATTTCCCATCTACCGTCACATTGCCAGAGGACCAGATCTTGGAAATCACCCTGTCCTAAATCCCAATCCCTGATCCCAGCCCAATTAATCCGTCGCCTCTATAACGCCAAACCCTGCACATGCAGCATGGGGAAACGACCAACCTTCCAAACCCGCAGTAGACCAACGTCGATCACAGCCCGAGATCCCTCAGCAGGCCTGCACGATATCATTTGTCAGGGCCAGGGCGGTGAGAGAGCCGCGGGAGCAAAATCTAGCCATCACAGCAGGGTGCACTTACAGCAGTCTTAGGCTCCGGGCAGCCTCCTTGGGATTTGAGGAAGCAGGCTTGTGCGGCCGAGGCCTTGCACTGACAAATCTGTTTTTCGCAAATACACATCAGACCGCGGTTCCGGCATGACTTGGGTGTGGCGTGGGTGTTATACTGACGCTCTTCTCATTCATCCTCGAATCGCAGATTGGCGTCGGGCAGACGCATTCCTTCTGGAAGGTGGGGACGTCCTGGTCGGCGTGGTCCGTGACGTTGGTACCATTCTGGTTCACCCGGGGCAGGATGAGGTCGTGCTCATCGAACCGGGCACGGGGGTGGGCAAGTGCCAGGGCCTGGAGGCAAGAAATGACGACAAGGGAGAAGTGCATTGTGTTTACTTGATGTGAAACCCAAACGCGTATTGTCCAATGCCAAGGGGGCCGTATACTTTGTTTGCAACGTAGGGAACGAACGTGTGGAAGCGAACGACGGGTATGGAGTTCAAATAAAAACACAGTCAACTGGAAACAGGCCAGTATTCACAACCTGATGATCATACCCCCAGGTCGACCTGGCCATGGAGGCATCGAGGCGAGGGCGCCCTTTTTGTGTACGGCCTTGGACGGCTCAAGCTTGCGGCTGGAGACCAGAACACGAAGGCGCCCACCAATCCCCTTTCCATGCTGGAGCTGGCGAGGAGGCCGGCTGTGTCACCAGTCCGAGTGGTCAGGGGCAAGTCATTCACCAGCGTATCTGCTCAGAAGAACTGGGAACGTCAAAGCGGGTAGAGTCGTAGGCATACGAGCCCGAGCTGAAGGCGCCCACTGATCCGAGTTTGCAACACGTCACTCGTGGTCTGGTCTGGTCTGGTCTCGCCCGAGGGGCTGAGGGCTGCGGTCTGTGAACCCGTGGCCAGTGGCGCCGATGAAGACACCGGCGATGGGAGTAGCCAGGCAACTGCGTAGGGCTGGGCCATCGGCCCAGTGGGAGAAGCCGTCTTGGAGCACCGGCAGTGGAGTGTCCGAAAGCCAACTCACCTAGGTGCAGAGGCTGAGGACTAGTCGTTCCTTGTTAGAGCTGGAGCCACTCCTCGCTCGGGCTCAGCAACCCCCCCCCCTTCCCCCCCCCCAACCCCAAATGCTCACCCCCCTCCCTCGTCTAAACCCCAAAAAGAGGAAAAGCACCAGCAGGCGTGCCATGCTTTAACTTTAAGCACTGCATGGCCCTACCGAGGCGGCGTCTGCCAAGTCTCGCAAGCAAGTCGAGCAGGTTTTCCGTTGTTCTAGAAGGGAGAGGCAGCCAGCTATGCATGTGGCATCCCCGATAATGAATTGATAGACACACGTGTGCAAGAGGACAGGCCGGCTGACCCGGGCTGCTGGACAACCCTGCCCTGCCCTGTCCAACCCGACGCAGGATCCACGACAAATTAGGAAGTAACACAGACAGAAGGACCCTCAGATCTGACGGCCTGTGAGATGACGACCTCAGCAGCGGCCTCGAGCTCTCCACGGCATGGCCCCCATACATTCAAAAGGGGTCAGACCGGGTGCCTGGTTGCAGCCGTCCAGGATGTGACACACATGTAAGACCGGGCAACAGCTACCGGCCCAAGAGCAGACATATCGTCACCCAGGTAGACCAGTCGTGTGTGTGTTGTGTGGCAGATCGTCCGAGGTACAGGAGTCGTCGTTCTGGTCGGGCCCAAGTTCGGAGGATTGACATGCCCGCGGGGGGGCTGCCGAGCAATAATCCGAGGTTTTGGTCATGCCCTGGCCGGCATCTTCCCTCCAGAGCCTGACGACTGAGCGCACGGATGCTGTTTCTCTCCGGACGAAACATTGGATACATGCGCTGGCACCCTCCAGGAGTTGGGGGTTCTGGGATAGAGTTTGCGTTCCTCGTATCCAGCTTGGCTGAAGAGCCGCATGCTGCTACTGCAGCCGCAACGCAACACACTACTGGCATTCTTGTGGCCTTGGTTGTGCGGACAGCGTCATGGTCTTGAGACGAAGGATCGCGGTGCGGCCAGCAGGTGCAACCCGTGGCAAAACCTTGTGCTGTGTGATCCGCAGATGGAATCATGGAAAGCACGGCATCTTGACCTTGGTCTTGACATGGCCCATGAAGCGCTCCTTGTCTGGTCCAAGGTGGCACGGTGGGACTGCTCATTAGCTCGGGCACTCAACACGAACCAACGTGCCGACATGCGCTCGTGCATCATCACGATAGCTGTCCCGTAGCGGGGCGCCAGGGGGCGCCAGGGGGTCCCAACATGCACATCCCCCGTTGGCAGATCATTGCACATGCGGGACCACGCTGACTCCCTCGCATACTTGCATAACGGATTCAGAGTTGGATTTAAGCTTGTTCGGGTTAGCTGTCGATCAGATTCAGGGTGCCCTCTGATCTCCAGGAACCCCCCCCCCAGCCTTCGGTTTCATAATGGAGTCATGGCTGGGCCAACAGTCCCACGGGCCGCACCTTACTTGCTGACTGCTCGTATTCAATCTTTTTCTCCTACTCGCCCCCATGTCCTTCTCCACCGCCTCCCCGGTCTCCGCTCGGATCTGGTCGCTCGATCGAGAGTTCCATTGCTCTGGTCCCTCACTTCCCTGCCCGGCCCACTACGGATGCAAGTACGTTCCGTACTTGGACAAGCCAGTAGATTTTTTTATTTTTTTATTTTTTTATTGATTTTTTTTTTTTTTTGATTTTTTTTCATTGCTGGTAAGTATGCGTCTATCGCAGCGGTGGGGGTGTGAAGGGGGCAAGCAATGCCCAGGTACTATGTATCTATCGCTCTGGTGCCAAGGTCGTGCCATGGGCCTACTGCAGCTGCCTCACCCCAGCCTTCCTTGCTCCCTCAACTGCGTGCTGCACGGTGCGTCCAGTACCCGTGCCCACCTCCGGTTTTCTTCAGCCCAGCCGTCTGCACTGCGTCTTTCTTCTCCTTCCCCGCCCTCCTAGCAGCTGAGGATCACGCCATCTATTCCTGCGCTGGCTTACGGGGTAGGCAGGGACCAGTCGATTTTTTTCTGTCCGGTCTGATTGATTGGCGCGTGGTGATGCCGTCGAGAAGCTTCAGCTGGCAGGTCTTGTTAGTCCTCGCCCCGTTGCGCCACACTTGGTTCGGGATCGTGGTGCGTGCCGCGCTGCCCAGGCCCGGTATTTCCGACACGACCGCCGCTAGATTTACGTAAAAGATTGGCCTTGTGCATGCCGTGGCCACCAACGACCGGCCTCGGCCTCCCGTGGGTGGCCCCCGGCAAGCACGGCGACTGCTGGGCCTGGCCTCTTCTGGCGCCTTCCCAAGCCATCAAGCCTGTTTGGAGGCTTCATTGTCGTGTTCTGCTGGCCAGTGAGAGTGAGATTGTACGCCACGGTTCATGTCGCAGCATGACCGCAGACATGTCGTCGTGAGGGTGTCCGTCAGCACTACAGCAGACAGCCCGTGTGCTACTGCCGTACATCGCACCATGGCGTCTTCCCGTCGGGTGAATATATCGTGCAATTTGAGACGGGACCCGTCGAAAGCTTGTGAAAGCCAGCCCAAGCACTGCATGTGAAGAATGCGCAGCGCACCGCACCGCTCCGGGAGTGAACACGCACCATCCTTCCAAAGTCTTTGGCGCTGCGAGCTGGGCCATCGTGTGCGCGACCCGAGCGCAGCCCAAACCTCCCTGGCTATTACATGTACACACCCGCGTAGTGTAAACGCACCCGAGACCAGCAGCAGATCCATGACCACAGCCCTCGGGCGCTACCGTGGACCTCCTGCCCAAGGATTACGCGGGCTCCGCATCGAGGGCCCTCGACAACCGACACATCGTCTCCACCACGCCTGAGAGGCGCCGCGAGAGCTAGTCTCGCGCCGACGCCTGTTGCACAAAAGTGCGACAGTCAGACGGCTGCTCGCCGCGCCATCTCCTTGACGAACTCGGGCCAGGAAGGGCACCAGTCCTCGTACCCGGGCCTCGTGGTGATGAACTGGCCCGGGCAGCCCAGCTCGAAGCACTTCCTGCTGAGCTGCCCGATCTCCACGAAGCCGCCTGCCGCGCTGTGCGCCACGGCGATCGACTTCTTCCTCAGGGGCCGCGGCAGGCGTGAGAAGCCCTGCGTCACGGCCGGCGCGTTCCACTGGCGCGAGGCGTTCTCAAAGGCGACAATGTAGTCTGCTGCGAGGTAGAAGATGGGGTCGACCACTACGCCCGGGTTGTAGATGACGATGGCGGTCGAGTTGGGCGGCGGCGATGGCGCTGCCAGCCCCGGCGGCGGCCGTGTTGCTGCTGATGCCGGCGAGCGGGGAGACGCAGGGCTGGCGGTCGATGTTGGCGGTGTGGGATCAAGCTCTGCGGCTGAGACGTCGTTCGCTTCGGCGCCCTCGTCCGCATCGTCCCCGGCATGCCCAGGAGCAGGACTCCGGTTGAGAATTGTCTTGGTGGCATTCGCCAGCGAGGTCATGTACTGGACAAATAACGTACTCGACGGGACCTCGTCGAAGAAGATGCCGTCCACCACGATGGTCTGCAGGGCCAGGTCAGTTGTTGTAGATACCATGTACCCGAGCCTTTGGCCCTCGCCGGCCCCCAAACTCCCCCCTTCCCGAGGTCTATTCTGTCTGAGACACGCGGCGGCAGACGGGTACTTCAACGCCGCAATGGACGGCTACGGTGGGAAAACATACCTTGCCATCCTCCCTGCGCTCTGAAGCGTGCGTCCACCCGCGGTACGCGCTCACCTCGGCCACGAGCTCGTCCAGCAGTCTCTTCCCGTAGCTGCAGTGGACATAGCCAATGACCTTGACGTTCGGGGCCGCGGTCAGCCTGGCCAGGGCCTCGATGTAGTTGGCATCGGGGAGGATGCCGGGTCCTGGCCCGCTGTTCGGGTTGACCACCACGAGAAATTCTAGCTCGGGATGGGAGTCGGCCGCCACGTAGAGGGGTTCCCAGGCCGTCGGGAACGGGTAGATGTACAGCGGGACGAGCACAAAGGGCTTGTTCGTGGCAGCCGAGGGCTTGGGTTTTGAGCCCGGGGCCGAGGTGGCCATCACTGCTCACGTGTGTTGCGGTGCCGAGAGGGCGGCGCTGCCCTGGAATATTTCCTCGTTGGGCGGTGAGGAATGTAGTGAGGAGGGAGACTGCGTATGGACAAGATCGGTCGCAAACGATTCGGCTGCTACAGGTCTGCCTAGGTAGGTCGAACATGAGCTGGCTCCCTCTCTTTGTCTTTCACAGATAAAAAAGCGCCTGATGCCGATGGCTGTACAGCCACTTTGGACTGGGCCACGGACTCCTCTATTTTCCCTCTCCTCTCCTCTGCTCGCCCCCCCCCCCCTTCCCCTCCCCCTTCCCTAAGCCCACAGGCCGGTCTCGATGCATGAAAGTAATTAACCGGTCCCATCGGTTGACCAGCCAGCCAGCCAGTTAGTCAATCAATCGACCTACATCTGCCGGGCCTGTCAACCATACATGATGCTTGATATGCCGCCGCCAAGACAAGGGGCAAAGGCTTGGGGTAGGCAGACAGACAGATCCAGATAGATCCAGATGCCTTATCACTGTCATGAGTAGGATTCGTGCCGGACCATGTGGGTAACCAGGTAGTTTCTGCCAAGTCAAGCACAACCGAGTCGCAATCGAAGCACAGCAGCAGGACGCCACTGGCCGTCGACCCCGCCCAGAGCTGCCTCCGGTGCAACCAATTCTCTCTCTACCTCGCCAGCCGCCTTCCTAGGCGTCCGGCTGAGCTCCGCCACGGCACGGCACGGCTGAGTCTCGGGAGCTTGGGGCCGTGACGTGATAGTGCACTATGTTTATTGATTGACATGCAAATGTCATGGCCGCCCAGAATAAAGTCGGCACACCCGCACATTACAAATTTCTAAGTTAGCCTAAGCTCGCGTGCTGGCAACGCCGCGAAAACCCGTCTCTGTGATGGAAGTCCCCAACATTTTATGCACCAAATCAGAACGCTACTGTTTATACACGGTGGCTGCTGTCCTTGCGGGGGCCGTCTATCCGGGCTGAGCCCTGCCGCCCTACTGCCCATCGGTCGTGTACGTGTCTCCGTTGCAGTACTGGACCCACCCACTGAGGTTCATGTACTTGAGGACCGTGTTGAAGCCCTCGCCGTTGTCGCTGGTCCCCTTGTCACAGCTGCTGCTCACGGTGCTGGTGGAGAATGCCTTGACGTCCGTCTCGCCGTCACCGGCGGGATACTCGATGTTGAAGACAGGCTTGTCATTGTCGGGGAAGGCAGAGAAGTCTGCGCACTCGTTGTACTGCACGCACTGTTCGTTCACTGAGAAGTGCACGACGTCGATGACGCTGTTGATGATGGCGGCGGCGTTCTTGAGGCCTGTGATCATGCCCTTGTCCGCGGCCTCCTTGGCCAGGAAGCGCATGAAGTTGACCGAGTCTTCCTCGCTCAGGTCGAGCCCGTTCTCGTTGTCGTAGCCGTCCACGTTGTCCGGGTCGATGGCGTTGCAGCCCATGTCGGCAGCTATGGCGATGCGGTCCGTCATGATGTTGCGGACATTCTGGCTGTCCAGCTTGAGCCAGTACTCGCCGGGCCAGCCGTCCAGCTCCTTGCCCTTGTCGTCGTCCTGAAACCTCCACGAGTCGGGGCGGTTCGGCTCGTAGGACCCGGCGCTGAAGTAGCAGATGACCGTCATGTTGAGCTTCTGCAGGTCGCGTACGACGGTCAGGTTTTGGTGGAGGAACATGTCGATGTCGTAGACGGACACCTGTGGGTTGCTTGTGTTGGTGGGGGAGACGTTGCCGTTGTCGTCTACCGAGAGGGTCTCGCTGAGCACTATCTGCCACTGGGAGTTCAGCGTTAGGTTGCTCGTCGGGGTGTCGAACGTGCCGTTCCCCGGGCCGGTTGGCTGGCCGCCATTCCCATTGTCATCGTCGTCGTCGTCGCCGCCACTGTTGCGGAGCCCAAGGCCGAGCCCGAGACCAAGTGCCAGTGCCAGTACTACGATGACGGCGACAGCGACAATCGCCCACTTCTTCCAGCCGAAGCGGCGATGGGCCTTGTGGCCATCGACAAGCTGGGGCTTGTCATCGGAGATGGACTGGGTGGCTCGCTGCGGGTCTCCCATCTTGGAAGGGGGGGGGGTCTACGTGTGCAGCAGTCAACAGACCGGAGGGCGGTAGGAAGCGGCGGTCAAGGACCGGATCGTAAGCAACGCGGCGTGGAGGAAATTAGGGAGGATGATGCGGGCAACGATGGGCACCAGCAGTAATGATGCGTGCGGGACAAAGAAGAAACGCCGTGCAGGGCGATCACCAGCCGGAACAAGGAAGCTCTTGAAGGTCTTGGACAGAGGACAGAGGGCAAAGCGCGGAGGGAGAGAATGCGGTTGAACGGATCTGGCCGGATGATCTAGAAGAATTGGGCATGAGGCAGGGCAGCATCACCACACGGGGTGCATCGTGAGGAGCTCAGAGCGCAGCATAGCCACAAACGACGGGCGCGGGAGAGTGGCAGACACCAGTGCAGGTGCAGGCGCAAATGCAGGCGGGATTGCAGGCGCAGTTGGGAAAATGCGAAGATGCCGTGCTCACCTAGCTACCTGGCAGTCCAGGCTAGCTGATTTGCTGGCTAGCTGAGGCCGGGAGATTGGTTGGGACTGCCCGTGCCCGTGGCTGACACTGGCCTGGACCGTCCGGTTCGGTCCAGCTCCAGCTCAGCTCAGCTCAGCTCAGCCCAGCCCGGCCCGGCACGGCACATCACAGCACGTTAATACACAAGTATTACTTCTAGGTAGCAGCGTAAGCAGAGAACCCAGCCATACGGTAACAAGGAGTGCTAGAGCTTATTGTCGTTTGTCATAGAACACATTGTAGGGCGGGTATTTGGTGCCCCGAGAGACAAGTGGCAGACAGACTCGACCTGAGGGTTCTGACAGGAGAACTCTGGTAGCCAGCCAGCAGGCTAGCGCGCGGGTCAAAGAGCGAGAGCAGCCCCGAGCGAGTCCGGATACGGAAAGGAGGCCAAAAGCCAAAAAAAAAAATTAAAACACAAAAAATTAAAATGTTAAAGTGGAATACTCGGAAGAGGTCGAAATTAGGTGTGGAAGGAAGGAAGGGGAAAAAAGGGACGGGCCTGCAGGGGGCACGGAACAGGAAAGGGCGGTGGATGACAAAGAGGAAAACAAGCACGGTTCTGGCCTTGGGTCAGGTCAGTGCGGCACCGCAGTAGGCAATAGTATGGGGCCTTGCCTGGGGTCTGGGGGCCCAGGGGGCCCAGGGGGCCCAGCCTGGATCTCCGAAGCATTGAGCTCACGACCCACCGTCCTGCCATGACGGGCCCACAGCTCGACTCACGATATGCAACTATCCAGATGACAGCCCACCTCTCCCTCGCAATGTACCGCCAGGTACCTCCCGCCCACAGTTTGGTTGGCTGCAGCTCTACCCGCCCGCCTGGGCATGGGCCCACAACACGGGCACGCACGCATGGATGGACGGCATGGCATCCCATGTCCCTTTGCAAAAAAGCTCGGATCATTGTCCCAATATCAATTCTTCTTGCTGCATTCTCTCTCAAGTTGACAAAGCATGCAGTCCCGTTTTAGCCTGCATTTGTTTCAAGGGTCCTGCTTACCCTGCCCCAGCCTGCGCGCCCTTCTGCGTCTCTGCTGCTGGCTGTCGCTGGCTGCCGCTGGCTGTTGTTGCTGCCTCTCACCTGCAGCACATCAGCACCAGCACCGGCACCAGCAACGCAAGCAGACCCAGTCCTGGTTCTCGTCGTCCCCCTGATGTGCTCTCCTCTCCTCACCTCCTCCCCTGCTGCCTGGGCTCTGGGCGCCCGTATTCAATCGCCAAGAATTCAATCCACGCTCCCATGCCGACACGTCATCTCCATGGCCAACCACTCTTAACCATACCACCCCTGCTCGCGACACGACAAGACATGCCATCCCATGCCACGCCATGCCATGCCTGCCATAGTGGCCCGATGGCCCAGTCGACCTAGTGGCGCCAGTCAGTCCCCGTGCTACTGCGTGTCAAGTCGCAGGCATCTCTCGGCCACACATTTCGCTTGGGGCAATTCCAAAAATACCATCCCGCTAGAACCTGAATTGCACACGCAGACACGGCCTCACGCGCAGGCGACGAGCCGGCCTGACGAGACGGGTCGACAACCTGAAGGACAGGACGTCGTTGACTCGTTGACGAAGTGACCTGGAGCCAGATCCTGCGCCCGACAATCGATAGCGCCTATCGAAACACCAACCAAACCCGCGCCAGACAAGACCACTCCAAGGCCACACCACACCGCCGGGAATTGGGGCAGCGACTTGGACCTCGAGTCTCCATGTTGGAGACGAAGCCGAAGCCGAAGAAGCCCAGGTGGAAGCCGGATTAGAACTGGTCGGGGTGTACAACCAGCTCAATATCGCACCAGGCCGTTGATACTAAGCAGTAGCTATCCTGGAATTACCAGCAAGTCGCACGATTGTCCTCCTTTCCCCCCCCCCCCCCCCCCCCCCCCCCCATCACCCATCACTCCCAGCCCCACGGTCACGGTCTTGGCCTCGGACTCGGCGTGGCCCTTGCTCATTTGTTTTCGCCGTCTGTTTTCATCGAGGCTGAGCGGGCACGGTCGGTGCTAAGCTAGGCGTCGTCTTGACCCCTGGCTTGCCCCTGGGTCTATCCGTCACCATTAGAGCAGATCAACCGTCGCCGTCACCATCACCACCACTATCACCCAGCCAAGCCCAGCTCGCTCAGCCAGCGCGTCCGAGCAACAACTATAGAGCAGCGAGTATAGGCCCCGCCGGCGGCGCTCTTGCTGTCGCCCACAATAGGCATGCTGGCGTGGTGGTTGCCACCCATGCCGAGCCCCAGGATCACCACCCTCCCGCTAGACTTGGTCCTTGTATCCGATCATCTCCAGCGACTGGGATGCGTGCCGGGCTACCCGCTTTGTTCTGCCATATGCGCATTGCGCGTGGGTCCATCCAGCCCTCAGACTTTCTCTCTGCTGACCTCTCTCGCACACTCCCATCCCATGTGGGTTACGAGTTCGTCTAGGTCGTCAGGTCCTGCAAGTGGTGTAGTGTGTGCCACCATCATGGCCCTCGGTCCTCGTGCGGCATCCCGTCTCCCGGTCGTCCATTCGGTTGCCATGCTCACTAGCAATCCTGCCCGTCGGGTTCCCATATGGTGCACCTACCCTGTTCCGTACAGCTGGCCTAGTCTTAGTCTTGTTTGTTGTTGGGACTCTTCCGTCTGCTCGTCACCACCGACCGCCTTGACTTGGCTGACGCTGCTGTGTACTTGACTTCACTTCACCTCACCTCACCTCACCAACCCTGCCTGCCTCGCGCGCCCCCGGCCCAGCCCAGCCCGGCCCATGTCCTAACCGTCTGCGTACTGTAATTACAGTGCGGCACGGTCGGTCACTTCAGTAGCAAGTAGTACTTGCTCGTCACTCCTATCCCCTTCCCTTTTCCCTACGTCGCCCCCAGTCCCTGTCGCTAGCTAGTGCCGGCTCCTTTCCGCCCCACATCCTCCTGCTGCCACAATTTCTCTTTGTCTGTCCGATCGTTTCGTATTTGGTGCTGGGACGAACATGTTTAGGCGCCTGCTCTTGGGCCCTTCCTACCCCTTCCCATCCTCGGATCACAAGCGGCGGCCCTAACCTCAGCCGCCCCAGCTGGGTCATCCCGACGCCGGCGGGCGGATCAAGCGCGGCTGCAAGAGCAGCAGCAGCGTGCGTCTCTTGACTCCATCGGATCAGGCAGCCTTTAGGTCCATGGCCATCTATCTAGCTGCCACGAGGCTTTTGCCTGCGCTGCACTGCACCACTCTCACCTCGCTGCGGCCAAGGGGGAGGGGGGGTGGGGCCAGGGGACCATGCCATCCATCAACTTCCTTATAATACCCTCCGCCTCGCGGATGAAACCCTGTTTTTATTTTCTTGTTATAATCCTCATCACTCGCTATTTCCTTGACTGCACATCAGTCTTGGGACAACTGCCTCGCATTCGCTTGGGCACACTCTCGTTATCAACCCAACCCACCTTCGTTGTTCACTCGTTGTCGACGTCGTCGTTATTGTGTTTATCCCCTACAACATTAATATTGTGTCTCTGGGTCTCGACTGCCCCCGGATCCTGAGCCAAGCAAGACCTACAAGATGAAGCTTTTTTCCAAGGCTTCCGCCCTGTTGGCGCTACACGCAAGTGTGGTCACCGCTGCGAACTCCGTCGCCAATACCATCCTGGTCTTCGCCAGAGACTCTGCCTCCGCCAATGTTGCCACACTAGGGCTGCAAGGTTACGGCATCCCGTACCAGACCGTGCTCGTGCCCCAGTCCGGTGCCGCACTGCCTGTTCTCAACTCCTCCGCTACCCAGGGCAACTATGGCGGTATCCTCGTGCTCAGCGAGGTCTCATACCAGTACTCCACTGGCTTCCTGAGTGCCCTCAACGCTTCGCAATGGCAGACAATGTACGACTACCAGACCGCTTTTGGTGTGCGCATGGTCCGTCTGGACGTTTATCCCACCCCTGACATGGGTAAGCCCGCGACTCAGATCCTGATGCTCAAAGCCTCTCACGCACAATTTTGTCTCTGACATTTTATCTTCCGACACAGGCGTCACCACATACATTGCCGGTGCTGGCTGCTGTGATGCCGGTGTCGAACAGCTCATCAGCTTCAATGACAGCTCTGCATTCCCTGGTGCTAACATCAAGACCGGGGCAACCGCCAGCACTGCAGGCCTCTGGCACTACCCTGCGCAAATCACCAACAGCAGCATCGCCACCGCCGTTGCCAAGTTTGCTCCTGCGGGCTCTTTCACTGCCGATACCACCGCAGCCGTCATCAACAAGATTGGCGGCCGTCAGCAGATGGTCTTCTTCATCAGCTGGGCTACTGACTGGTCTCTGACCTCCAACTACCTGCAGCACTCGTACATCAACTGGATGACCCGTGGTCTGTTCGTAGGGAAGCGCAAGGTCTACCTGAGCACACAGGTCGATGATATGCATCTTGCTACGGGCCTATACTACCCCAACAACACCAACTTCCGCATCCGCACCCGGGATCTTGATGCCCACAAGGCTTGGCAGACCGACATCAACACGCGTCTGGCACCCGGCTCCAACTACTTTGTTGAGATTGGCCACAACGGTAACGGTGATATTGACAATGCCACCAGCCAAACCAGTGGCGCGACTCTGTGCACCCCTGCCTACGCTGTTGACTACGACTCCCCCCCTGACACTGCGCTCGAGTTCCAGAAGCCCCTGGGTTCCGGAACCGACCTGTGGCCCGCCGAGTTTAAGAACTACACCTGGAGCCTGCCCTGTGCCCAGCTGGACCCCATCGCCAGCTGGTTCCAGAACAACAAGGATGTTTTCGCTGCCGTATCGCACACCTTCTCTCATCAGGAGCTCAACAACGCCACCTACTACGATGCGAACCGCGAGATTTACTTCAACATCGCGTGGATGAAGCAAATTGGCATTTCCGCAGGCAACAAGTTCTCTGCGAACGGTCTCATCCCTCCCGCCATCACTGGTCTGCACAACGGTGATGCTATCAAGGCATGGATGGACAACGGCATCAAGTTCGTCGTCGGTGACAACACCCGCCCCGTGCTGCGCAACCCGAACCCCTTCTATGCTCTCACGACAACCGTCGCCGGCAACGGCTACGCTGGTCTGACCGTCATCCCTCGCTGGGCAACAACCATCTACTACAACTGCGACACACAGACCTGCACCACCAATGAATGGATCGCCACTTCAGGTGGCTCCGGTACCTTCACCAACCTGCTCAACGACGCCAGGACTGTCAACACTCGCTACCTTCTCGGTCTGCACCCGGATCCTTACATGTTCCACCAGGCCAACATGCGCTGGGGCGACACCGACCAGATCACCGTCGGCAACCAGTCCGGCAGGCTTTCCCTGATGCAGATCTGGGTCGAGACCATTACCCAGGAGCTTCTCCGCCTGACAAACTGGCCTGTTAGCTCCCTGAAGCATGATGCCATTGGCCAGCTCTTCCTGGACAGGGCCACCCTTGAGTAAGTGACTCCCTCGTGGTCGTACTATTTATCCAATCATGGCGATTCCCATTGCTAACCCCGTCTCCTCTAGTGCGTGCAACCCCAACCTCAAGTACAACTACTCTGACGACGGCAAGTCTATTGTCTCGGTCACCGTCACGACCAACGGCAATGCCTGCGCCGTCAAGGTGCCTGTTACTGTCCCAGGCACAGCGACCTCTGCGGCCGGTACCCTTGACAAGGTCGGGAGCGAGCCAGCAATCTACTGGACTCAAATGTCCAACGCGCCAGTGACCTACACACTGAGCGAACCTGTTGCTGTCTAATCCTGTGGTACCTGGACCATGGTGAACTGAGAGAAGAAAAAAAAGGTGGTTGTGGATTTTAGCCGATGTCGCACAAAGCACATTACATCTTCTTGTCATTCGTTCAAGTATTTTAACTAAACAATTTATAAGCGTCTACTGGGGTGGAGGGAGTATAAAATCGGTTAAGCTCATAGGATGTGTTCAACGGCCGCATAAGGGTATGGGTTACTTGCCGAACGAGACAAGCGTTCGACCAAGCTTATCAAGCTTGTATGGGATCATGGGTTTGGCGTCTCAATAGTGGCTAATATTAATGGCTTCATTCGTTGCGTGCATCGATCCGCTGCCCATGGTAAAGAGGACTTCATGACTGCGTGAAGATGCTGCGTGACACTGGGCTGTTCCGCAAACAGTTCTTGCTGTTTAGCCCATCCGGCTCCTCTAAAACTTGTATCTGTGGAGGTTTGGCATGAAGGTGATGAGGCTGTACACGAGGTCCCAAAGCCTGTGTCTCACCGACTGCGCCTCGTTTGGACCTACCCTGCCCAGGAATGAAAACTACCTCCGCCAAGCTCGGTAATGCGCGGCGCGATTCTCCGCCGAGGCCGTCGCCACTCGGTTGCGGACCATTGTTAAATAAATAGCTCATGGACCCCGGGGCCGCGAAATGCTTGCGGCCCCCCGCTTTTGATAGTGTCATGGTCTCGACAACTATTGCGGCCGCCGGAAAGGGTAACGCCCTGTGGCGTTCTCACAGAGATGAACATCTAATTCCTGGGCGAAGTCTCTGCAGCCACTAGCCTCGGATACAGGGACAATTCCGGTGAGTATCTCGGGAGCTTTGTGGACACAGGACATGGCTTGTGGTTGCGTGTCCGAGTCACTAGTCTACGCCAGGCGGGGAGGGAAGCGATACCAGTCACAACCAGCTCGCAGGCATTTCCTAGTCGGAGGGCATCACATTCGGAAATCAAGGGATAGAGACCATTGATTGCTCGGACCTGTCAAAGGGAATGTCGACCTGGTTGATTTGAGGGACTTGAGGTGAGGTTAGTCATGGTCTTTCTGTGTACATTCGTCCTTGACCCTGCTTCCCAACCGACCGAGGGCGGAATAATGCTCCGGTATAATCTTTTTCTGTATCTCTCGAACCCCACCGGTCGGCTGCCATGATGGTGGTCATTTCTTGTCCCTTATTACGTGCCTAAATGCTTAGGCTGGGTGCTGGCGATGGCCACTATATTTAGTGGATGGGCACCGCATCTGACACCATACTGCTGTGAAGAGCGAGACCACCGTGAGAGGCGGCATGCGCATATTCAACCACGTCTCTCCAGATGTGACACTATTCTATCATAGCCACTTCTTCCGTCGTATATGCTCTAGTCACTCGGTCTGGCCTTCTTTCCATCACGATTGGCACAGAAGTGCTGACAACCAAGGACGAGGCAATCGAGCAACTGACTGGGCTGAATGGCCCAGTAGGTGGCAGACACCGTCAAAGCCAGGTATTCGGGCCCTTGTTTGGATGTGCTCTGGACACCGGTTTGTTCAGACGCCTATGTTTACAGTGATCATCGCTTGCCTCTTTCCACATGGCACGTTCCGCTTGTTATAATGTGTTGTCCGAATGGAGACATATGGTTCAGAGGCCTGCTCTTAACGCGACTTTGCGGGGAACGTGGAGTTCCTAGGAGTCCCCCCCCCTCCCCACCCAGAATGTCACCGTGGAGTTGGTATGAACTGGTATTGTTTTGTCTGTGTGCGTCAATGAGTGTTGTTCTATGATCTCTGTGTTTGCGTCTCCATGATATATGCACGTGGTCACTTAAGCCCACCCTCTGTGGTTGGGTCGTAGCGAGGCACAGGGTCAACCAATAGTCATTGCTTGAAATACGGGAGGGCCCCTTGGTGGACGAACCAACATGTTTGACGAGCACTTACAGGCATGGATTGGCGGATTCAAAGGTGAGACCACGTGCTAACATACAAACGCGTCACGCGGTCTCATCAAACAAAAGAAAACAACAGTAGCCATCACATTTATTTAAGGAAACAATAGAAGCTCAAGTAACAAACTACCTACATTGAAGTAGGTAAAGGACTTATCCGTAGAGACCAAGTAATATTATAGGAAGGTTATTAAAAGGCCTAGATATATATGTATAAGATGGCCTAGATGAGCAGAGATTATATGAATCTGCCTGGGCTGACTCGTTTCTGAGTGCGCTGTCTGTTAAAGCCACTGGTGAGTCCAGCTAGAGAGGGTGCCAGCCTTTATTACGAGTACACTGATTCGACGGACTTTGATCAATAGGAGGCTGAAACAGAGGATGCCACGGCGAAAACAAAGAGACTTGTAGCGATACCACCGCATTTAAGACCTCTTCCCAGCTCATAACTCTTCTGACGATGCGTCAAGAGTTTCTAGCACGAATTTTGGAACGAGGTCATTCTACACTGTGCTGTGGCCCGGCCAACGGGGAAGTTTGGACAGGATCACAGTTGAAGATGCAGCATTGAAATTGACAAAGCGGAATGCTCACACCCTGTGTGCTCAAGTGGCATGGAAAAAATGCCACCGAACCTCACTTTGCCTTACACCCTGCAGTGTTTCCAGACTCAACATCGTTATTGGTCCCCGGGAGCCATGTTTTTCTGTTAGAAAATCAAAGAATCATTCTTTTTCAACAGGGCAAAATGATGAACCACCCACATGGACAGGACGTGTCCTAGCCGCCCATGAAACCTGCTTATTCGGCATGAGATGCTCCCTGCTGATGGCCGAGACGCCAATTATGAATCGCACGCGACGAATTTGCACGATGAATTTGCTTTCGTGCCACACTGGCACAGGTAGACTTGTTGCCATGATCCGTATGCTTGGATGGGGTGGTATGATGTCGCCTCTGTTTCCATGCAAGGAAAACCCATTGTCGAGAGTTGCTAGAATAGAACAGACATCATATCAGGCTGAAGGAGTGCGCACAATTTCAGTGCCCCGTGATTGGATCACAGGACAATTTTGATCGCAGAGCCGCTATCAATAGTGTTCAATATACGGACTGCCCGGCGAGCATGTCGGTTCTACCGAGGCCGTTCCAATGGATAGCAACCCCCGCGAGTGAACAATCACAAAAGGCCCAATGACCAGTACTCGCTGCAACAATAGAGAGGACAAGATAGTGTCAAGTATGAGAAATCCCATGTACTAGGCGACTGTGGCCTGTTAAACCGGTCAAGGACGACGAACGGGCGAAGGTCCCCAATATTGAGTGAACAATCGCGCAGGCATGATGATGTATATATGCGGTTTTGCATACCAAGGGAAGGTACACCGAGAGGCCCATTCACGCGAGTGATTACCTCGGTTGATCTGGACGACCAATAACGAGTCTCCAGCCTACCTGCACTCGATCAAGCACCGGTGCCCCTTGGGCTCAGTGAAAGCAATCATCTCAGGTTCCATGTCCTTCTCTGACATGCCTTCTAACGAAGACATTCGAGCTGCCGGAAATGCGCGAAAGAAACAGGTCGTACCTAGACGCAGCTCGGTCCTGGCTAGATGGACACCCAGGCATACTATAGACAGAGTGTCAGCCATTCCTGGACATTTAAGTAGGAAGACCTTGCTCTAGTAGTTCATGAGACGAGCAAGACCATTGACAAGCACCGCGAGAGGACCGGAGATTTGACGAAGGTGTAACAAGGCCCGGGTCGCATTGGTTACTTACCTCGTGCCCCCCCGCCCCAGACCATCATCACTTGCTTCATCTCGTTTGTGGGGCTTGCCCATCGGGCTGGGTCGAACTCGTCTGGCCTCGGGAAGACTTGCGGGTCGCGTTGCAAGCTGTACGCCTGACAGCTCACGGTTGATCCGCCTGGAATGTGGCGCCCAGCAATGTTTGCTCCTCCGGGAGGTACAACTCTCAAGAGACCCGTCGCAACTGCAGGATAGAGACGTAGCGTCTCCTCAATGACCTGGTTCAAATAGCTCAGAGACTTGAGATGCGTGTCGTCGAAGTTCTCTGGCAGTTGACTCAGCTCTTGCAGAAGTACTGCTTTTACTGGTGGCCTCTGACAGACGGCCCAGACCAGATAGGTTAGGGTGTCTGCGGTGGTATCGGTGCCGGCCACAAGGAATGTGAGAGCATTGCTTCTGACCTCTTGCCAGGTGAGCTTCTCTTCACTTTCTGCCAAGAACAGTCTCGTGAAGAAGGACTGCTTGGGGTTCTCCGCGTCTGCCATGACGGCCTGTCGATGCATTGCGAGCATTTCATCGGCGCGTCTGAAGGTCTGCTTCCTGGCCCTGCAGGCTGCAGTGACAATCCCGAGCGGTATGTGTTCGGCGATCTTGATAACGAATGGCAGTGTGAGTCGTAGAGCAGCCAGTACCGCGCCCCCATTGCCCAGGTCGCTGGTGAACTCATCTTTCTAATGTCGGCATTACGTTAGGGATGCCATCAAGACTCGTGCGAGCTTCTGCACACTTACCTTGCCTTCCTCAAGAATCCTGAAGGACTGGCCAAATGTCAGCTCCCCTGTGATCTCCGAAGTCATGAAAGTCCACCACTTGTAAACGTCCGCAGCTCCTCTCTCCTCCGTCTCTTCCTTCATCCTCTGGACCGCCAACGCGACCTTCGAGTGAACCGATGAACACATCTGGGACACCGAGGTCTCAGAGAGGCCGGGAGCCAGGAGCCGTCGATGTCGCCTGTGCAATTCGACATCGGCAGTGCTGAAAATGGAGGGCGCGGGGGAGTCGGTAATGGTCTCATACAGCGGAGACTTGACAAATGTCTCCTTGGTGTTGTATATCTGCCTGAAGGCCGACGCGTCGCTGAAGCACACTTCCTTGGGGCCCACCCTCACAACTGGCCCTGCAAAGGTGTGAGGACTCGAGCATGGCGATCCGTCGACTGTCTAATGGAAAGGTACCCTCAGACGTACCGTATTTCTGGAAGAGAGAGTGTATGTACTGCGGCTGCTTTCCTCTGACCAACTCGACCAGGAACTCGATATTTGTCCACCTGGAGAGCCAGGTACCCGGAAGGTTTGAAACTGGGTCATGCCGGGAGCGGACCCACATCTACTCCCTGTCAGATGACTGTTGAGGCTGTGGGACAAAGTCGTGCATAGATGAAAGCAGAGTAAGCTCACGTAGAAGAATGTGGCAACAGAGATGAAGCCAAACAGCATGGTGGAGAGGCTGCTGGCACCCATTGGAGCGCCGCCCATTGCTTGAGCACCACAAGACTGTATTGGCGGGTTAGTGCTGCGACGGGCTGCAGGGAGGTCCGAACTATCGTGTGAGTCGACGTCACGGGTTGCGAGCAGTGTATTGATGGCAAAGGCCAGCAGCCAACGGGCACGTGTTTGGGTTTGCTACCTACCTACCAAGCTGGCTGAGTGACTGCCGGCCGCCGTGGACCTCGCCCGGGTCCCGACCGCCTGTTTTCAGAGCAGCGTTGGCCCTTCCCTGCTTACTCTGAACTCTATTTCCCACTTGCCCCTGACTAGTCGGACCAGGAGAGCTAATCACAGATGAGAGCCCACCTCCACCGCCCCATGTGGCCGCGCTGGCAAATGCTGCAGACTGCCGCTCCAGCTTCCAGCTTACCTCCCAAGACTGTACCGGTATCAGCAGCATGTCGAGCACACGAGCTGTCACAAAACCTACCTTCGTATGTGGGTACTCGCAGACGACTGGGTCCCAAGACCCCGAAGCTTCACTGTCGTAGATGCCACCATAGTGGCCCCGTCCCGTAGCAAAAGACACCGAGAAAGGGGCCCTGCCCCGAACAAGCACTTTTTTTTCACGGCCGATCGATAGAGCTACCGCCGAACCGGCCCCGTCTTCTATATATATGTATATATATATATATAAGAGAGAAATGCCAGAACAGCGAACTTGACCGCCCTGCCCGGACATTCTCGGTGCCATTCACGCGGCCACACCAAAACCGACGCCGGGCTCCGAATCCTCGCAGAATTGGATGGTGTAGTGGCTTCGCGGGCGAGTCAGCCCCCCCGTCCGGGCCTCCGCAAATCCGCCCTAGCTACCAGCTCTAGGCATCCTCAGGGAGATCTCGATGTGCATAATGAACGACACGCAATGCAGATATAGACCTGCCCAGGACAGAGCGCTTAGCCATGTTATCTTCCTGCATGCCTGCTGCGTGTTGTACGGCCGACGGCACAACATTGGCAGACACGCTATGCACAGACATGTCAAGCGGGGCGTTGTTGTCTGCACACCGTTTTCCGTCACGGGAAAGAGGCGTCGATAGCATCTTGGTCTGCAATGTCTATCAACCCAGACTACTTCCTTCTTGATCATGCCTGCCAGGCCCGATTCAGAGATAGCATTGCATCTGGGCCCACAACACTCGTGCATAGTGAAGCCCATCAGGGCTCACGGCTTCAAAGTTGATCACCGCCAATGCGAACGAACCCTGCCGTAGATGACAGGCTTGGGCCAAGCCAGCGGAAAGGTGGGCCACAACGGGCAAGACCCCCAGTAGACTAGAGCACGGAGTAGACCGCCAGATCCGCCATGCTCTAGAGACGACGGGGCGCCCAGTAGCTCTGCGTGGCGTTGGATCTCGTTGGCCCCTGACAGGTTTTGCGAGTTAGCACTCCTTGACGTAAAGAGGTCGAGCGGAGAGACGTCAGCGAGTGGGCTGACGAGTGTGCTAGTATCTGACATGTTGAGTACTGCACCTCGGTCCGTCCTGACAGGTGGATGAGTCGAGTCGACTTCGCCCTCGGTGGGCTATTTCAGTGCTATGTAGTGTACATGTGCAGACAGAGATGTGGACCCCTCAGTACGTAATGGCCAAAATGCGAAAAGAGGGATCCAGTGACCCGACCCGATTTCTTTGTTGCCCGTGGGTTCGTCTCGCAGGGTCCGAGTGCTCGTGGGCCGGGCGCAGATACAAGTACCGAGATGCCGGCCGGCGGAGAAACCGGGTGCTGGTCACTCTCGGCTTGTGGCCAGTCCACCTCTGCGAGAAAAGATTCCATTAGTGCGGAGGCCCTCAAGGCTGCCCGGCGCCATGCGCTGATTTCCCCCCCGTGAAGAGCACTCTGCACCGCACAACTGGCGCCGGGCCTGCTCTTCTTGGCATGGCGGAGACAAGGAGATGGGCCCCGTTGAGGCAAGGCATGTCATCTGAGTGTATACTACCCGGGTATGTGTACCCAGCGTTGACGCTTCCGCTCAGGCCTCGCCGGTAGCGAAACCATCAGATCTCGAACTACGGAGCTTGACGAAGCCAATTCATCAGGGTGTGGGCAGTGCGCTGCAGGGCCGGGCCAGCATGCAGGCATCCAAGGACGTGACACTTCCTGGCAGGCTGTGCAACGTTCAATGGACCCCCTTTGTGAGCACGAGCCCGCTGGACAACAACATGCCGGTAATTGCCCAAGTAGGGGAAAGGCAGGAAAATGCCATGCCATGCCATGCCATGCAGCATTTCGCTGTCAGGAGACTGGAGAAGACACATCCAATTGTGTACAGTAGATAGCGCCCAGACACGTGAATCCAAATCTGGACCGCGTAGAAGCATACCGCACGTAGTATGTGGAGAGAGTGCAAAACACAACTTTATCCCGGCAAGTTTCCAGGGCTAACGAAAGTCTTACGATGATCACCAGATTCTCTAGATAGCGCCAACCTTGTCGCAACAGCCCATACCCTTCGTTCCGCGTTGGTTCCTCGAGGTTGCGTAGGCTGGCAGGTATCCAATATGAGACGATCGGGGGGGGGGGGGGCATCAGTGCGTACTACAGTAGGTGATGGGAGGACGAGGATTCAAATGGCCCAGGTCAGGGTCCTCAGCCCATTACCCACCCTGTCTAATAAGGTAGGCCACTGCCTGCCATGTTCATTTGCAGGTACATGGTCAGGCACGCAGTGACCGTGGCGTTCTCATACGCATGAGGTTTCCAGCACGTGGTAGTGTCCACCCCCCCCCCCGCCGCCCTCTGAACCCGGGGCAAGTCTTGTTGTGCTTCCGTGCAGTAGTCGGCCGCCATACAGCAGTAGTGCATCTGATGCATGCACGCACTAGTCGATTTGGTATGTGGCACTGCGTACCGCAGCAGCACATGCAAGTACCCACACTCATGCGAGTCATGGCTGTCACAAAAAGCTGGGGGACAAATATGAGAACCGATAGCCTTACTGCACAGCACAGGACATTCGACGTGGCTGCTGTGGCGACAGACGGGGCTTCTTCTCACAGCTCAGCTCCATGACGCGCTAGCAAGTACCAGTGGATGCCCTCTCGTCAATGCGAAGCAGATGGGCCACCCACGGGTCTGTGAAATTCAATCTTGAGCAAACGCACGGCTTGGACGTTGCCGACCAGGGAGGAACAGGGTGAGTGTGGGTTGCATCGGGCATGACCCCCGGACGTGACAGGAGGGCTCTACCCTGAGCCGGCAGAAGCCCACAGGTTCGCGGGTCCACGAGTAATTCCCCGGGAGGTGTGTGTGCATGCAGGCTGGGATGGCGCCGTCACGGTCGGTCACGGCAGGCCGCAGAGTATGCTCGGTCAGGTGTGGGTGGCCCTGTGGCATGGCATGTTGCGGCATGGCTTGAGCTGGTTGACGATGGCGTCGAGCTTGAGGGAGAGGGAGAGGGGAGAGGGAGAGAGAGGGAGAGGGAGAGGGAGAGGGAGAGGGAGAGGGAGAGGGAGAGAAGGGGCGAGCGGCAGAATCACCATCCAGAAAGGGCGCAGGCCTGCCGTGGAAAAGGCAGGATGAAAAGGCAGGATGGCATCTAGACCACACAGCTGCTTGCTTCCCGGCGACGCTGCGCCTGGTCACTGATCTCCCCCATGGCCGATCCTTTCTTTGCCCCAGCCCCTGAGGGTCAAAGCCACAGTACGTTATACGCCATGTGGAGACGCCAGCCGAAGCTCATTTTGGTGCCGGCTCGCCAATCTCCCAATTGACAGAAGATCAGGCAGCCAGTGGCTCTTGGGCTAGCCACAAGCAATTAGGGCGTGGCGGGCGGTTGGCCCCAAGATGAGTTTTTCTTTCTCTCTCTTTGGACCCTGCCGGCAGGGTTTTTCTCCCGCTTGCCTCGGTCTGATGAAATAGACGGCAGCCCGTCCGCCCTCCCTCAGGCACAGGGGCGCACTGTGTGATCGAGATTGGGGAGCTGGCCTGCCACCAGCCCCTGGGAGCCCTTGTCGGACACTTGGGACGGGTGTGCAGCTCCCAAGTGCTGATTGATGATCCGACTCGTGGCTGCCAGGACTCGGTCGCGGAGTGTCGAAGGATGCCAATGGCATCAAAAGACGCGGTGGCCCGGGCGGGCCATGGCCAGGCTTCCCAGGCGCCGCAGGAGCCGCAGGGGTGCCTCGTCTGAAGAAATCCATATCTCGTTCAGCTGCAACTCGAATCGGATTGTCAAGATACCCGATTCGACAGCTCACATCCGGCCCAGCAGGCCGGCAGGCTGGGCCCCTGAAACCTGGAGATGCTAGCGGCCATCACCATCGCACCGCAGTTCGCTGTGCCGGATAGACCCAGAGTACCCAATCTCGCATTCTCTCGTGGGCGCGACCAGAGAGAGAGAGAGAGAGAGTCTCTGGTCGGCTGGGTTGCTGGCACGAGTCCCCTCCTCTCCCTTGTGTCGCTCCCTGCCCTCGCTCCCTGCCTCCCACTTCTCCCACCTCACTCGAGTCTTTGACCCCGAGACATATCCAGTCTCTTGGTGCTGTGCAGCTGCAGTGCACACAGCACGAGGGCGACAGCGCTGGGCTGCGTTGGCCCGGATATTAGACGGACGAACCTGCTCGGGGATTCCTGCCGGTAATGCGCAATCGGGATGGCCTGTACTGTATATTTACCTGTCAGTATGGAGATCAGTGCAGCCTGCGTTGCTTTTTCTCCAGCAGCCGGGACCCGAGAGACAATGGAGGCTCGAACGGGACTCGAGGCGATGTCACCCCCGGCGGAAGCCAGTCCTCTTCGAGCCACCCTCCCCCCCCCGGCCGCCCTGGCTATGTTCCTTGGTCGCTGGACAGCGTCGCATAACAACAGCAAGATTCGGCCTCGTGATGGAGGACCAGAGTTCGACGACATGTCAGCGCTATGCCACATTCCAACCCACCAGTCCACGGGCCACGAAGGGCTGCCATCGCCTCGTCGGTCGAGTGTGCTCCTGCGAGAGTCTGTTCGCGTGTCACACACATGGGAAGCTCTGGGGGGGGGGGGGGGCGGGGACGTGGACGATGCGGGGGTGGCTGCATTGGGCCTCCTGGACCTGCCTTGTGCAGGCGGCATCCTGGCACTTGCTCAGTCGATGTGGCATGTGAATGTCGCCATCCATGACCCTGGCCGTGTGTTGCTGATCTACAGAGTATGGATGGGTGGATGGGCCCTTTTGGCTCTGGTACATATAAATAATTCAAGCCTTGGGATGATGGGCACGGCTTCTTGGTCTCCCGTCCGCTGGCCAGGCCCGTTCTGGAGAGGATGCACATAGGGAAAGGGACTCGGGACACTGCACTACGCAGCACACTAGGTCGCCATCTAGGGGGGGTCAAAGTCGTCCCCTCCCGCACTTCCCGCGAGTCTCGGGCGCGGCACACAGTAGAAGCTTGGTCTCTCCGGGTTCTTCGAGGGCGCATGTCGGGCCCAGCCCAGCCCTTTCTGCCCTCGAGGCCATTCGCGACAAGAGGGTCCTCAGCAATCTCTCCCAGTTGGCTGTCACCACAACGCGGGCCCAGCTGAAAGTCTTGGTGTTTCTTGACACTTGCGGGGCTCCTTGGCCCGGGATGTCTGTTGCTACCCAGTAACTCCAGGGTGACGAAGATTATGTTCTCTCCCAGAACCCCCCCCCCCTTTCCTCCCAGCATCCCTCCACCCCGTCCCATCCACACGTGTATGTGTATATATATATGTGAGGCGTCGAGTCTGGGGGGAGAGGCGTGACTGCAAAGCACCTGGGGGCCCAAGACCCTTTGATGATGTTGGGGCCCAGACTCGGGCGACAAGCCTACTCACTACTGGACACAGGGCAACTCACTCGGTGACTTGCAAGACCCATTCAGGCAAGGCACGCGCAGAGAGCCAAAAGGTACTACAATCGGGCCGGGGGGCAGAAATCAACAACGGAAGCCTCCTGTGCCCACTGTGGCCAAGGGTCATATCAGGAAAGCCCCGTCTCCACTGTTCGTGCGCAGCAGGGGGGAGATGCCAGACCTGACTGCCAGGGATTTACTTGCAGTCGCCTCGAGAGAGGGGCACGCACAGGGGTTGCCTGACAAGACGGACAGAGCGCATCTGTACTGTCGGTGGAGGCGATCCCGATGCCATTGGGACTTGACGGACGGGACGAGAGATGAAGCTTGATAAATAACGAAGCAGCTCTCGCCCCGGGGGGCTGTCTGTCCCAGCACGCGAGCCCTCCTTCTCTTGGCCTGATCTCCCCTTTCTTTGTCTTTTCCCCTCGCTTATACCCCATTTCTTCCCTGTCGTCCCACCGGTCCTTTGTCACAAGGGGTGTGTGCGTGTAATTATATCAAACTTGCTGCCGGACAGTGGCCCCCGCCCTGCCCATTGTCTCTGTCCCCATCCCGAGCCCACACAAGCTTGAGCAGCGGCGGTATCCTGTTGTTGTTGTTGTTGTTGTTGTTGTTACTGTTGCTGCTGCTGTTACTGTTGCTGCTGCTAGGCGTCTGTCCAGAATCCCGAGTCGACGACACCCACCACGAGAGACTCGGTTGTAGGAGCTTCCCGCCCAGCCACAAGCAGCAGCCATGGCTCCCCGGAAGAAGGAGACGGCTCTCGAGCTGTGCGACAAGGCAACGGTGCTCGGCAACACCATCGCCATCCGGATGCTGGAGTACCTCAGCACGGTCAAGCACCATGTGCAAGGCTTCAAGGAGCTCGCCAACGAGTTCCTCGAGGTTTGTCGGATCCTGTGGGCCATCGAGACGGGGCTCAACACCAACAAGCACTCGAACCTGCCCGCCGACATGACCGTGGAGCTCGAGAAGCGCTTCCGCCAGGCCAACGACGACTTTATTGTGCTAAACCAGCTGGTGACCAGGTTCCTCGACAACGACAAGAAGCACGGCTTCGCGCGGCTGTCCAAGGGCTTCAAGATGATGTTTGCCGACTCGGACGTGCACAAGATGCGCGCGAGCCTCGAGAAGACGCGCGAGGCGCTGAGGATGTCGGCCCTGGTCTTCCGGTGGTCCCTCGGCGAGGCGGACGTTGATGCCACCATCGGCATCGGCTACACCGGCCTGGCCGCCGCCCTGGACCGGTTGAACGGCACAAAACGGACCAACTCGGCCAACACGATCCAGCCCACGGCGGCGCCCTCGCAGCAGGGCCTGTCGAGGTCGACGCCCCAGCCGGCCCCCTCAGAGGTAAGCCGACCTCGGACATTCGACCCGGGGCACGATCTCCCCCCCGCACTGCCGCCGCTGAACATCATGGACCGGCAGTCAACGACGAGCCACGACTTCATGGGCAACCGCATCACCGGCACGACGGCCGTCGACGACCTCCCGGACCTGCCGGACCTGCCGGACCTCGGCGGTGGCATGCCGGACCGCGCCCCCTCCCGGTCGGTACGAGATGGCCCTGGCAGCCTGCGGTCCTCCAAGGGGCCGGCGCAGAGCTTGGTAAGGGAAATCCCGCCATCGGACATGTCCAGCCCGACAGGAAGCAGCAGCCGTGGTAACAGCACCACCCAGACAGACAACGCGTCCACCCACACGGCCGAGACCGAGACGCTGCTCGAGGACCTCCTGTCCGAGGCCGACCTCAGCGACACCAACAAGATGCCGCAGCACGTCACCCGCATCAAGGCAGACCCGGCCACGGTCCCGCGCTGGACGCCGCGGTACAGCACCGGCAGCAACGTGCCGCAGTACAAGGCCGCGCTGGCCCAGGCGGTGCAGAAGAAGAACCACGGCGTCATCGAGCAGCTGCTGGACCGCGGCGTGGCCCCCGACACGCTGGCCGAGATCAACCTCCTGCGCGAGGCCGTCATGAACCGCGACCCGGAGTCGGTGCGCCTGCTGCTGCTGTTCGGCGCGGACCCCAACAGCGTCGACAGGAACGGCTTCTCGCCCCTCTTCACCGCCACGGAGCTGGGCTACCTCGACGGCGCCAAGATGCTCATCAAGTACGGGGCCGACCCCAACCTCAGCGCGGGCCCGGACGCCGACTCGCCGCTGGCCATGGCGGTGCTGGACAACAAGCTCGAGATGGTGCAGCTGTTCCTCATGTACGGCGGCGACCCCAACCGCGTCATGGCCAACGGCAACACGGTGCTGATCCGCGCCATCAACCGCAAGACGCCCAAGCGGGTCGTCGAGCTGATGCTCAACTACGGCAGCGACCCGGACGGCAAGAACGGCGAGGGCACCAGCCCCATGTACCAGTGCGTCAGCGTCCAGCGCCTCGACCTCGCCATCCTGCTGCTGGACCGCGGCGCCAGCGCCGACCTGCCCGGGCCCAAGCACCTGCTGTGGCCCAGCGCCTACCAGCCCCAGTTCCTCAAGCTGCTGCTGTCGCGCGGCGCCGACTTCCGCAAGGCCCCCGGCATCATGGAGCTCGCCACCAGCATCAACAACATCGAGTCGGTGCGCACCCTGCTCAGCGCCGGCGTCGACCCCAACGCCAAGAAGGACGGCGTCTACACCCCGCTGTGCTCCGCCATCCGCGACAACCGCGGCGACATCGTCACCCTGCTGCTCGCCAGCGGCGCCGACCCCAACCTGCCCGCGAGCGAGTACCCCTGCTTCAAGTGCGTCACCCACCACCGGAGCCACCTCCTGCCGCAGGTCATCGAGGCCGGCGGCGACCCCACCGAGCCCAAGGGCATCGTCGAGAAGGCCGTCCAGCACAACAACAAGGACGCCCTCGTCTACCTGCTCGACTTTGGCGTCGGCGTCAACGTCAAGTCGCCCGAGGGCTACACCCCGCTCACCACCGCCATCCGCGAGGACCGCGCCGACATGGTCGACCTGCTGCTCGCCCGCGGCGCCGACCCGGGCATCCGGGGCCAGGACTGGCCGCTGTGCATGGCGGTCAAGCGGCCCAACATCCTCAAGAAGCTGCTGCCCGCCGTGTCGAACCCCAAGATGTTCAGGGGCGTCGTGGAGATGGCCGTGTGCGCCAACCAGCTCGAGAGCATCAAGCTGCTGCTGTCGGCCGGCTTCTCGGTCGAGGCCAAGAACGGCGGCGTCTTCTCGCCCCTGACCAGCGCCATCCGCGAGGGCCACAAGCACATCGTGCACTACCTCATCGACGAGGCCGGCGCCGACGTCAACGCCCCCGGCGAGCACCTGCCCATCATCAAGTCCATCCGCCGCATGCGCAACAACGACACCGAGATCCTGGAGCTGCTGCTGGCCCGCGGCGCCGACATCAACCTGATGTACCGCGGGTGGAACGCCGTGCTGCAGGCGGTCGAGAACGGCGACGCCCACGTGCTCAAGATCCTGGTGGAGAAGGGCAACGGCATCGACCTGGAGCAGCGCGACGAGAACGGGCGGACCGTGATGGACATTGTGCAGAGCCACGGCTGGGAAGAGGCCGTGACTATCATCAACGGCGGTGGAAGGCGGTAGGTGTTGCCACGCCACTGTATGTTGGCTCCAGATCCAACCCGCCCTCCGCCCTCCGCCTCGAACAAACCCCTGCCCCCCTCCCCCTCTTTATCTCTCACCCATGTCACCGGCCAACCTCATGACCTCTCACACCCTATCCAACCATCGACTGATACGATCTGGCGTCGCCTTGTGCTTGGATCCCATGCTGACCTCGGCCTCTTTTCTCGTCAGATTGAGTGTCTTCTCGTCTTTGTCGTGGGGCGTGATACTGGGCGAGAACGGAGAAACCATGTCAGTGTCCAGGACATCAATGGACACGATACGAGAGCCAGAAGACGAGTGAGTGAGGGAGGAACCTGGATGATCAGAATGATGATGACAGAGGGCGTCGTCGAGGTAATAGGGTTGCGTCATGCACCGGTAGGACCAGGTGTCCAATTTCTCTTTTGTCGCGGTGAGTAATATACCACAAACGTGTTGTACGATTCAATGTCAAATACCTAGTGCCTAGTCAATGTTGGGGGCACTCAAAATCAGATCTCGGCCACCGGCGGGATCTTGTATGTATTGCAATGTTCATGCCGCAACCGTGCAACGCACGTGTCGCGGCTTGTTGATGCCCACGTCGACGTCCCGTCTCCTTCGGACCCCGATATTGTGAGCCATGTGCCTCGAAACTGTCCATTGACCCGGCGTCGTACGACCTGAGTTGTTGGCTTTGGTGCCTCTTGCTGTCCCGCTAGGTGTGTGCACGACACTTGACCCCGGGGTTAGGCGACAGGGAGAGGACCGCTCTGCTGCAACGCTGCGGAGGAGTGCAACTAGGCATGCTTGGGATTGACCTTGGCGCGAGCAAAGGCTCGAGCTGCAACACTGCAACAGATCGTGAGCTGTCTGCTTCATACACCTCGGAATAATAATAAAAAAATCTCAATCGTTGCCCGCCCCCGGCAGGATCCAGTCTCCGTATTCCGATCTGTCGTCATCCCCTCGGCGGTTTGCCACCCCCGACCGGTACGCAGAAACACACCAAGTCGCCGTCCTTACCCCGTCACACACGACCATGGCCGGGGCAGCCAGGCGGTCACGCATATCTTCTCTGGAGACCTCGCAAACTTCATCATGGGTAGTGGCATTAAATCTTATAAATAGTTGTTGGCTCCACCCTCATGACGCGCACGACATGATCATGAGCCCGCGCTTGTACAGCCGTCCGTCGCCGTCCATCGTGACATGAATGCACCATTTGATACAAGCCCAGCCCAAGCCCCATCGACAAAAATTGATCATGAGCTACGTTTGCCTTCCGACCCGGCCCCGGCCCCGGCCCCGTGATATCGTTGCCCGAGTAGTGGTACACACATTTACAGATGTCCCCACATGTACAATCAAACGCCTGTACTCATCAATGATGTCTTCCCGTGATTTCCGCTCGCATATTCTTCCATGAATACCTACAAATACAATGGTGCGCTATGCTGAATGTAGCAAAAATCTGACAGGATGAAGAGAGATTTAAAAGAAACAGTGGTGTTGGTAGTGCAGGGTACTTTTCGTCAAAATTCAGCCATCGTCGCCCCACTCCGGAAGCATCCCTACGGCACTAATCCTTGCGGCCTTCTTTCTCGTCTGAGGCTGTGGTTCCTCAGGCTGTTCCTCGATCTGTGAGTCGTCGTCGTCGTAGTGGCTCGAGGGCGACTCGGGCCTCTCCATGACGGGCGTTATATTGTGGTGAGAAGCTTTGCGTAGATCCTGGCCTGCTTTGTTGTACGCCTGCTCGGACGAGTGCCTGGTGTGGGATTTCGTCGATCCGTGGTCTGTTCGCGACTGGCGTGCGGACTTCGGATGAGTATGGTAAGTATTTACAGCGGCAGCCGACGATGCGCGGCTGTGTGACGGCGTTGATGTGCTCGCGGTGACCGTCGATGAGCTTGCAGGAGCGGGGAACCGCTCGGTGTTGTCTACGAGGAAATCACGCAAGTCGGGATTGGACTCGACCACATCTTGTACCTCGCTGATTGTGCCGCCAAGATAGAGTGGAACCTGCTCGTGCTTCTCAGTCTTCGTGCCTGCGTTGTCGGGGCGTTTTGAACTGGGTTTCGTGGAAGGCGGTCGAGGGAACAGCATGGTTGTGGTATCATTTCTGTTGGTGCGGCCGCTGGCGGCGCTCGACACGTGAAGACTGGCTGGTGGTGGTTGCAGAGTCTTAGCCTTGACCGTCTTGATGCTCGATAGCGACTCCTTCTTCGAGGCTTTCCTGTCATCCTGCCCGCAATCCAGCTCAGGCTCCAATGGTTCGCCAATCTGGTGGCTCTCACGCATGCGTGCCCGTTTTGCCCTCATGGCGGCAAGGAGCAGCTCCTCTTGCCGCGTGACGGCCATGAACCTCTCATCTTCAGAAGTGCCTGTACCACTGAGGGTCAAGATTGGACCACCGTGGTCAGGGGCGGAATTGTGTTGGCTCTGGATTACGAGCTCCATGCTCGAAGGGCTGATGGGTGGTGTGGGCTGGCTCATTCTAGGGGACAAGCGGGTTCGGGGACTGTTGTGTTTGTTCTCCATGGCACTGGCCAATTCGTGATGACCATGTACTGTCGGTGCAGCACGGGACTGCAACATGGCAATGTGGTGTACCTCCGAGGCTTGTCTTGAGCCAGCCAGGTGGGCTGGGGCAGGATGAGGACGTGAAAGCTGACTCGCGATTGATTCAGACGTCGAAGTGGACACCTGGGACAGTCGAGATGGCGATCGTACCGACGAAGCTGTGGTGGATGTGGAAGGTGCAACTCCCGGCCGTGGACTGCCGGACGCCATTGCGCTCGCAAGTGAGCTCGCGAGCGAGCTGGTACGAGGATTGATCGGTGGTGGAGTCGTGGTAGTGCTTGTCATATTTTCGGGAATGGCGAGGAACTGCCCTTGGGGGTTCATGCTGGGACGGAATTTGCTCTTTGGGTGTTTTCGTCCTGGGTCCTGCGAAGAGGAAGTACTCGATGGCCTCCGACTGTCAATGGGACTAGAGGCGCTATCAAGCGAGGTGACGCTGGGGATGGACAAGGCTGTCCTCGGTGGTTCTGCGTCGTCATCCTCTGAGTCAGATGAAAGGGACAGCAGACTAGTCGTGTTTGGATCAAAGTCGGTAAAGCTCTGGTCCGTCCTCTTGGAAGCCTTGGAGGTGCGGGTGTGTCTGCTGGACACACTGGCGGCATAGTCAGCCGGAGGCGAGGCCAAACCCAAATTCGTGACGGCAAGCGGCGAATCCGATATTGGAACATGGCTGTGGTCCTGAGGAAACACGGTGTACGGCTGGCGGGTAACTGCAGACAAGGATGGCGAGACGTGGTGGCGGGGCTTGTTGAAGGGCTGCGATGCTGTCGATACACTCTGTCGAACACCTGGTCGCGAGGCAGAATGTGGTTCTGGCTCAGTAGCGCTGACGCTCTGCCGCGAAGCCGGCCTAACACCGTCGCCATTCATGGTGTCGCGGAAGGAAGTGTCTTCGTAGTGTTGGTACAGATTATACAGCGTGCCGGTGTCCGTGGCCCGCTTGCGCAGATTTGCGTTCTTGATGTCGGAGCTCGATACACTGGTCCGATCCGGCCTCGGGCCTCTCAGGCTGCGCAAGCTCTCCTTGGTAAGTTTTCTTCGCAAGCCCTTTTCAGGCTTTGGTTCGCATTCGGATGGTGACGAAGCCGGTGAGGACGAGGACATAAAAGATGGTGACCGTGTCATCAGATCGGGCCCCAACACCATGCTGCTGCCCTTTTGGGTCAGTTTCGTGAATGCCCTCCTAGATGACGCCCCTGCGCTGGGCAACAGGTGTGTGAGATCCAACCTGTTCGGTTTTTTGCGCTCAGGTTTTGGGGGCGCCGGTGCGGGCCGGGGAGAGTCCATGTCCAGGAGCTCCCATGCCTTGTCCGGCAGACCCTTGGCTATTGCCGAGTTGGCGGTCTGCTGAGATATCGACAGGGGTAGCTTCGTCTTGTCGTAGTAGGAAACGATGGTGGAGCTCGACCGGCGCCGCCTCAAACTCGATGCATCCGTGATGGTGTCCGGGTTGTGGCTGCGCCCAGCGTTGCTGTCGCCGACCCCCAGCCCCCTTGGTATTATGTCTGACTCTTGCTCCCATGCCGGCCGCGAATTGGCCCTGCTGGGGGCCACCGTGGGACTCTCCTTGACGGTGCTCAAAGGCGAACGGGACCTGGAGATGCTGCCGGACGCCGTGGTTTCCGAAATGGTAACGCTGATTGCGCTGACGCCCGAGACGGCAGAGTGTGTCTCCCAGAGTCTGGACTGATCGCTAGTGCTGGATATGGGTGAGGCCGTGTCGATGTTGATCTCGGCCGCTCCGAGCAGCTTGCTGGCCTTGTTGGTCATGGGCGCGGATATGCTCTGCACCTCGTGCGTCTTCTCCTTCTGCCGCCGGTGCGGCAGAGGGAACTTGAACTTGGTCGTACCGCCCATTGTGTTTAATGGTTACCGAGGAGCCCCGGAGCCCCAACCCAGCCTTCCCCCCCAACGATCCCCGTGCGTGTTGCTCTCGTCTGTCCCGGTAGGTCTCAATGTGCCCACAGCTGTCGCAAAGATGGGTGGTGGGCGGTTTGCGTTAAGGTTGGACAGGACAGAGCAGAGTTCCTCCCCCGGATCCATCTGAGGACTGAAACCCCAAGCTACAACTTCCCCAAATTCCCAGAAAGAAAGGACCGAAACCCACGAAAGGACAGGACAGAAAGGGACAGGACAGGAGGAGGCGAAGACGCTGGGGAGCGATCGGTAGCTATATTAAGGGTGAGGATACCGCTGTCATTAAAGCATGCGTGGAGGTGGGTCCTGGCCCTGGACTGGTGAGTGGCACGTGGGGTGCGATCGCCGACAGCGACGGCGACGGCGAGGGTCAATTGTATCCCGGGCGGCCCGGGGGGCACCAAGGGACAGCGGTGGAGCTCGCAGGTGGGAGATTAGCGATGTTGCTGCTGGTGATGGCGATGGCGGACGCGACGAGGGCAGTGCGTGAGCAGAGCTGACGTGGAGAAGAGGGAACAGGCCTCAAAGGGCACAGGTTGCTAGCAGCAGTGTGGTATCCTGCAGAACTCCCTTGCCAAATGTTGAATAAGAGCTGATTCTGGGTATTGGTAGGGGGAGGGAGCGGGTGCAGGGATTCGTGGGCCGTCAGGTTGTGCAGAAGCAAGCAAGCATTGCTCATCTGGCCACAGACGACATGTTCCCTGACCCTGACGGGTGGAAATTCGAAATGAGTCGACAAGGCACGTCAGTCTGATAAGACGGACGCAAGCACTGGAACGCGACGGACCCAGGGAAAAGGTTCCCCATAAGATTTGGTTATGACAGGTCGCGTGGGTCGTGCTGAAGGCAAACAAAGCCGGAGCCAGCGTGTGGCATGGGCTGAGCAGAGACTGGCGCAGGACAGACTGGTCGAGACTGAGAGGTGACGGCAATCACCTCATGCCTCAAACGAGTGCGACTGACGGGCTGCCCAGGTACTCAGGCAGCGTGGTGGACGGGCAGGGGCACGGGGGGTCCGCCCGGGCCAACCTTGAAGACTCTCACAGTCGGCGCAGGGCGCTGGACAGAGCGTGTGCAGCAAGAACCCTGCGGTAGCGTGCGGTGCAGATCCACTGCCGGCGTTGTGTTAAATTACGCCCACGAGGGAAAGGAGGGATGTGAGTGGGAGAGGACGACTTGTGACGACAAAAGTGGCAAGGCTCGGGGAATGATCGAGGTCGCAAATTACGACCTGGCCACTTTCGGACAAAGAACAGAATAGTCAGAATCTTGAATACGGAGGAGGACAGGTCGAAGGCCAGGAGATCCCGACAGGCTGAACACGATGGGCAGGCTGGCAGGGTTGGCAGGCTGGCAGACTGGTGACAGTCGGGGCGAAGAGAGGAGTCGTCTCTGGTCCCGTCCCGTCCCGTCTCGTCTCGTCTCGTCTCGTGTTGGGAGGAGGGGGGTTAGGAGGAGGCTTGGATGCTAGATACCAAGTGCCAGGTGCCAGGTGCCAGGTGCCAGGTGCCAGATGAACAATGCCAGATCAGATCCCACGTTGACAGTTGGATGGTGGGAATCTCGGAACTGATGGGCAGTCAGGATGGATCATCAGCAGAGTTGCCAGTGCCCAAACAGAGCCGACTCGAGTATATGTGTATGTAGAGTGGCAGAGCAGGGTGATGGAAGCGACGAAAGAAAAGGGTGGGGGGCGGGTGGGAGCGAGAGGGAGGGAGAGAGGGAGAGGTGCGCTTGCAGGCGACCCTTGCAGGCTTCCAAGGTTGTTTCTCCATCAGTTCCAGTCTTGCCGTCGCAAGTTGCTGTTGATATAACCTACTTCACAGGGGAAAGGGCGCTCGCGGGATATGCATGGGCTGCAGTTGCCGAAAGTAAACCCACCCAGCACTGCTGGGGGAACAGGAGGGAAAAGGGAAGAAGAGGAGGGAAAAGGGTAACATGACCGTAACATGACCGTAACATGACCTCTTCTGGCCCAAGTGCAGTGCCCGCAATGCTACATGGTCAAGGAACAGTCCCGGTCAAGCCCACGTTGAGTGCCCTGGTAGAAGCCTGCCCATATTGCATTGCCCAGATGCAGCAGCAAGACAGCAAGCAAGAAGCAGCAAGCAGCACGCAGCAAGCAAGCAGAGTAATAACATGCACGAAGGGGAAGGTGGGAGTGGAGTGGTAAATTACGGGTGCACAGACGGGGCCAGGGGAGGTGCGTCCGCTCCGTCCGCCTCTCCCCTCCGTTCTCTCCGTTCTCTCCGTTCTCTCCGTCTTGCCACTTCCACCGGGTGTCTGCGAGTGAATCAGCCACACAGTCCTCGATTCCCTCACGCGACTCAGTCGGGCTCTGCCATCGCTGCCGGCCCGCGCACCTCTCAGGTCGATGCCGTTGAGGCTACGTACCTACCTAGGTAGGTGTGCGTGTCTGCCTCTAGCCCACTGGCCACAGATATGCAGCGAAGCCGTTGCATCAACCCGCCCTCGAGCAGAGCCGCACCTGAAGGCTCTGCTACGACTCCTTCCACAGCTCTGGCAACATCGGCCGGTACACTACTGTAGTCGCCCAGGAGAGTCCTGAGAAACGAGCATGCAGAGCTGAAACACCATCCCCGCTTCCGTCGCGGCCCCCTCACCCAACACATGCCTCCCCCGCAGTGCCTTCGATTTAATCTATCTGAAGTTGCTGCTCATGTTTGACGCTGGCGGACCCCGTGCCGTTCGACCACTCGGTAGAAGAAAGGGAAAACCGGACCAGAGCTTGCACCTCGACGCTCGAGGAGCCTCTCAGGTGCGAATACGGCGACCTCCATCCAGAGGTCGGGACAGCATCATGGCACCTGGCTCAATGCCAGGGCAGCCACAGCAGGCCCTTCCAACTCCCAGCAAGCCCAAGCTCACAAGCTCCCGGGCTGCCGGACTCGTGTGTCCAAAACCATCACAGGTGGCCAGACTCTCACCTTCACCTTGCTGCAGCCGTGATGGTGTGCGCCACCTTCTCGGCACACCGCAAATCCTGCTCTTGGCCATCTTGACTCGCCCAGCCCCCGCCTGGCTACCTGGGTGCTCGAGCATCTGCCGAGGCACAGTAGTCAAGAGTCCATAAGTCCGAAGATGCATCGCACCCAAGGTATGGAAGCTGATCCCGGTCCGGAGACAGGCAGGACCTTGAGTTGAGGCCATTCCCTCACCTGCCAGCCTGCCAGTTGATACCGCCCCTCTAGATTGGGTTATGTGGACGCAGACACCGCAAACACTTCGTCAGGTCGCACTGTGATCACAACAGGATGTTCCAGCCTGAAGATGATGTGCCTGCCCTCGGTCGGAACCCAGCAAGCCTGGGCATCGCCGAGCTTGGAGCGACAAGGCCGCGCGCGAGAAGGCGCCACTGCCGGTCGATCGATCTGGGCATGGCTTCTCAGTTGGGCACTGCCGGCGCCCCGACAACCCCCACAGCATGCAGGTACCTACTGCATTGTCCGCTTGCGTTCCCAACACGCAGTGCTTGTGCCGTGAAATCAGATTGCCGAGCATGCAGGCGGTCTGAACTCGGGGGGGGGGGGCGCGGAGCGGGGGTGTGAGGCGGGCGTGGGCAGGCAAGCATTGTGCGTGGCTTCACCACTACGACGGATGCAGTAGATAGTTGCTTGACACGTCGTGACGCGGTGCCTCGACATGACAACATGATGCCCTGCCAATCTCACTCCCGTCGACCACGCACATTGCAACCCCCTTCATTTCACAGTCACAGACAGCGCCCTGGTGTCTGTGCCCGTGCTCGCCACGACAGCACTTATCTCAAAGCCATAACGGCGAGCGACCAAGTACCAAGGTGAGTCTTGGTCCGCGTACCGGGTTCTATTCTTCCGCCGCCACTGGTAGCATTGCTACCATTGCAACAGTGCGACGTTCGAGGTGGCAGTCGGACTTGGTTCTGAGGCTCGAGAGTCGGAGCGAGGATCCAGTCACCCACTTCCCTCCCCGCCAACCGATCTTGCCCTCTGTGGCAAAGGTGTGCTGTAGTGCAGCCACGAGTGCCATTATTATGAGGCGACCACCTAGAATGTTAGTTTATTACACACCAGCTGGCCATGTGCAGCCGGCGTGAAAGGATTTCTTCCCGGTCAGCCGAGTTTCAGACCGTGCACTCAGCTTGGCCACCTGCCTGTTGTCAAGCAGTCCTGCCAGTTCAGGGTGCGTCTCGAAAAGCCTGAGTAGCTTTTACACAAACTATCCTATCCTATGATCTCGTCTGCCATACTCCCTGCTGTAGGACCGACCAGCTGAGGAGCGCCGAGGGGAGACACCCGACTGGGTGCCTGCTGGCTCTTTGCCTACGGCCCCAAGCCAAGCAAGCAACCAAGGTTAGGGCCAGATCCAGATCGTCATCAGCGTTCGTCTACCTTGGGCCCGTAGTCCCGCTCATCTCAAAAGTTCAGGTGTCCATCAAACGCGCCAGTTCCGGGGGCCTGAGCTTTCTTAGTAATTTATATGGCTGGTATGGTAATGTAAAATGAATGCATTAAATGGATATTTAAAATTAAAACGCAGAAAAATTATAAATTTATAAGTAAGCTATAACTTTATATAAAAATAAGAAAAATATTTTTTTAAAATATTTTTTACTTTTTTTTTTTTTTTAATACTTTTAATATAAATAAAATATTAAATAAAAAAATTAATTATTTTTTTTTATTTTATAAAATATAATATATTTAATTTAAAAAATAATAATTAAAAAAATATACCTTATAAAAAATTTATTAAAATTATAATAAGCTTAAATTATGTTATGAGCTAACCTTGGGTTGTTTGCCGTAAGGTGCCTAAATGAGGTTTATATTTAAAGTGCAAAGGAAGAGATCCGCTCCCCATTTATACCCAGAGTTGTGAAATACAAACCAGATACAAGATACAGATACAGATACAGATACAGATACAAGAAAAAATACAGATACAAATACAGATACAAATACAGTATTTTGTATTAGATACTGTATCTATATTTGTATCTGTATCTAGATACAATATATATATATATATATATATATATAAAAAGAAATTTTTTTAATTCTTTTAAATTTTTAAATAAATAAATAAATTTTTAAGTAAATAAAATAAAATTTAATAAATTAAAAGAAATCTTTTAATTCTTTTTTTTCTCTTTTATATATATATTATTATTTTATATCTAATACAAATACAGATACAAAAAAATACAGATACAGATACAGATATAGATATAAAAAAAATACAGATATAAATACAAATACAAATACAGTATTTTGTATCAGATACAGATACAGATACAAGATACATAAATACAGTCACAACTCTGTTTATACCCGCGCCAAAGCTTATTCTTATAAGGCTAAAGCCCGCTAATTAATTATAATGGGCAAAGCTTAACTTATAATATATCCTCCTTTTCCAAGTCCTTATATAAGCCTTAAAGGGCAGCTATATAATAAAAATAAAAGATATTATAATTTAATTATAAATTAAATATCATTCTTTGCCTAGCTATTTAATTATACCTTAGCGCCTTTTAAATATGCTAAAGGCCTAGCTTATTTTCCATAATTAATATATTTTCAGCCCTTATTATTTAATATATTAGCTAAAGCAAGCTAATAAGAAATAATTATTTAAGCATAAGCTAATAGTTAAATTAACGGCATTTTTATAATTCTTTAATATAAGCCCTTTATATAAGCTTTTTTACTTAAAACCTTAAAATTATAAATTTATTATATAATTTATAATTAATTAATGCTTAATTATAAGTAATTTACTTTATTAATAAGAAATTCTTAAATTTTAAGCATTTTATAATATTAAATTAATTAACATATAACTAGCTTATTTTAAGCTTAAGTTAATATTAAGCTAGCAATATTTTTAAGCCCCACCTTATAAAAAAATTTTACACTCTCTTAAATAAACTCCTTTTCCTTATCAACCTTAATTAATAAAAGCTACACCCTTATTTTCTTATAATAATTAAGCTAGCTATATATAAAATACTTAACTTTACTTATTAAAATTATTATAATATTAATATTTATTACTTTATTATTTTAAAATTAAGTATTATTTTCTTTTATTATAATATTAAAAATACCCTTATATTATTATAAGGTAAAATAAAAGGCCTTAAATATATTTAATTACTCCTTATAATTAAGCTAAGCTCTTATTATAAAAATTAAATTATTAGCTATTAATAATATTTTATATTTATTTAACTAACTTTAAGCCTTTATTATATAAATTAATTAATTAAATTAAGTAAGAAATTTTATTATCCCCTTTTTATAACGTTATTATAATATAATTAAGCTAAGCTTAATATGCCTTTATTTAAAAAGGTTCCTAAACGCAAGGCAAACCTTTTTTTAAAAACTTTTTAACTACCTTTTAAATATTTTTATAAAATTAATATAAGGTAAAAATTAATTATAAAAAGTTTTTAGCTAATTAAATATATAAAAAAATTAAGCTCTTTTAATGCTAATTATTTCTTTATTTATTATAAACTTAACTTTTATCTTTATTAATTAAGTTATTAAGTATTTTTAAGATAAAAGTTTCTTAAGATAAGGAAATGCTTAATAAGCTATTATTATTTTTTTTAAGTCTTATTATATTAAGTTTTATATAATTATATTATAAGTTTATAATATAAAAAAACTTTAAATATATATTATAAGTTAATTTTAAGTTATTTATTATAAGGTGCTTAAATAAAGTTTATATTTAAAGTATAAAGAAAGAAATTTACTCTTTATTTATATTTATATTAAAGCTTATTTTTATAAGGTTAAAACCTGTTAATTAATTATAATAAGCAAAGCTTAACTTATAATAAATTAATATATTTAAGCTATATATAATATAATTAAATAACTTAAAAAAGCTTAAATAATTATATATTTTTTAATTTAAATAATTATAATTATAAGATTATTAATAAAATTAATTTATAATAAAAAGCATTAATTAACTTTTAATTTTATTAAAGACTAGCTTATAATAAAATTAAGTTTTAAATTTTTAAAAAAATATTTATTTATTTTTTAAAAAATTTAAGGAAAAAAAGTTAAGTTTAAAGTTAATTAAAAAAAGGCTATATTTTAATCCTTATATAAGCTATATTTTAATTATAAATCTCCTTAGCTGCAAAGCTATCCCATTCTTTCAAGCTATACCTTATGTAAGTATAAATTCTAAGTTATGCTTAGCTTTGCAGCCAAGGAGGTCTGTGTGTCCGAGATAAAGTCCCGCCCGATTCTTGCCGTCCCGCCCCCCGAGAGGCTTTTTTTCGTCGGCTCGCGGTTTAAGCCGAACCAGTTTCGAGTAGACTCTTGTGGGTTCATCCTCGTCCGCTCTTTCAAGGTTGCTTGTTTCCGGCTGGAATGAGCCATCCCTTGAAGAGCAAAAGCTCACGTTTAAGGGGTAGGGCTTGTCACATCTATGCCTGGAAATGAATGAGTCCGCCTTGTGCCACGAAGGTTTTGACAAATTGTTCTGAGTGTGTCAATATGTTTTGATTTGGCTTTTGGAAACTTACCTGAATAATGCCACTTATAAGTCAGGCAGACTCACGGCGCAGTAGTTGACCCATACTACATATCTCGTTTCCATTTTAAGACCTCGTTCTGGCAACATCCGAGAAACGGTTCCATGTCATGACACAACTGGGTTGGGAGACCAGAATAATCAACCAGGAGCAGTGGGCGCCCGCGGTCGCGCAGTGGCTGCGGGCCGACGGGAGCGTTAGGTTTGGCTCGAACACTACGAAAATCGCAGCAAGTCAACTTGCTGGACGTGGACATGGCAGTGCAGCTCCTGTAACAGGAATCTTCTTCGGGCCGGGGACAACTATGGATCGCTCTTGATTGTAACGTCCAGCCCGGGCGATCAGGCGAGAAGAACCTGGCAACATCTCGACGAACCAGTGTAGTCCTCTTACTACTACGTAGTGTGATGCAAAGAACACGCGACTTACCCAGGTAGCTAGGATGGGACGCTTCAAAGTTACCCATACGTCCAAATGCGCTTAGTGCAAAGTCTGCCATACCAAGGCAGTATCAAGAGAACGAGCCTGCATTGTCGACTGGCCCGAAGCACTGCAGATTGAAGGACTCTGGTGTACTGTTGTACCCACAAATCGCGGGAGAGGTATAAGCATCTCCAAAACTACCTGGGTAGTGCGTAGTATAATATTATTTGACAAGTACATTGTCTTCTGCATAGTTCCTCGCTCGGGCGGCTCCCAGCCCGTATGAGCTTGCATCGATGGGGTAGCCACCAAAAGAGATGCTGATCTTGAACGACTACAGGCAATGAGAACAATGTCCCGGTTGCGATCCGAGCTCTCGAGAATAACTGTTGCACAGTTATCCCGTATCTCGACGTAGTGACGAAAGCACAAACTTGTCACATTGGCAATCTCACGTAGCCAGCGATACTGTCAGATCATTTGGTTTATAATATTTTGACCAAACGGATTGATATCAGGACGGCTTGCCAGCTTATGTATACCTAAGTGCAACGTGAAGTATCAATTCGGGAGCCCGTCAGCATGTAGGCTCGCAAGACAATGCTTCAAAACGGCCTGTTGAAATGGCCAACGCGAAAATCTCGACTCGAGCCCTTCGAGAGGCTTGGCTTGGCACGAAATGAAGCCAAATCTCAGATATGGACTCTCATCCTTGTGCGATGAAGTGAAAGTCCTAGGACATTCGCAACCTCTCTCGCCATGTCGGATTTCCGTCCCAGGTACCACAGAGCCTTCACACAATCTTGACAACGGTCAGAATTGTCCCTCAGGTCAGCAACCGAGGTTTCTGACACAATGTTGCCATCAACATCAGACAGCCCCATGCCTTCCAGAAGGATTACCGCCGCCCGAGAAAACGTCCTGATCAAGATCATAGTCCACTGTTATGGCACGAGTCAGTGAATATTCGAATACTAATGCACAGCCCTATTCCAGCCCGTCAAAAGGCTCTAGCCCAAGCTTGTCTCATGTGTTCGAGGTGACTGCTGTGCCACTAAATTGCAGGGGTATCGAGATAGTACTCACAGGCTCTGTCAACAAAGCGCCATCGCTGACTGCATGGTGGAAGTTAACCAGTTCTCCGTAGTCGTCGTGGCGGGGCGTAGAGGCTTTCGCCAGGTCAGATATCATACGGACGCTGGCAGAGCGGATGTGGCGAGCTTCCCTCGTCTTGGTCCGCGCCCAAGATCCAAACTCCACGCGCGAAGCTTGCTGATCCACGCACTCGATCAGGTCCGCCATCAGAAGAGTGGCAAGCAACCAGTGTCCAAGCAGACACACGTACCAGCTCTGTATCCGAGCAGAGAGGGAGAGGTGGTGGTGTATGCAGTCGGTAAATAACGGTTGGTATAAACGGTCCCAGTGCCGGTAAACCATCAACGAGTCCTCTATCGCGTCCTGGATTGTCTCCCCGTCTACATCTCGGGCGATCAAGGACTGGAGGCGGGTGACCTTTCGATAGAGAAGCACCTTGACAGGCGCAGCATCTATCAGCTCCTGTGCAATAATCTCATCCGCGAGTGGAAGACGCAGCCCGGCGGCCTTTGTTTGCTGATCCTTGCTCAATATATTGTTCCATTGCTTTGCGACATTCGCCGTAACAGGGGAAGAAGACTGTGCAAAAGCCACGCTGCCACTGTCCTCGTCTGATATGGTGAGAGGTCTTTCTGTCATGGCTTTGTATAAGTGGTCAGCACATTTCTGCGTGGGATTAAAATATGATCCAGCAAAATTCGAAACTCTCCCAGGAGGCCTTGGCCTGTCAAACCCGGATTCGCCGACATCCATTCTCTCAACCAAGCGTGGGAGTAGAAACAAACTGTGGGCAAGATGGAAGCGAACAATGCAAGCGTGATGTGAGCATTCTCAATCTGACAAGTACCAGCGAGGGAACCGGGGGCGGGGAGGGGCGCAGCAAGCAGGGAAAGTTGATTACCAGCGCTGATTGTGTCGAACATGACTGCCAACCAGAAGAGAAGGTCGATTGTCTTTTTAGACTCGTCATCGCATCGCCTGTGACCCTTGTCCTCTTTCGTCCGAAGGTTCCTGTCGTGCAGCTCGACACGGCGTCGTAAAACGTGCAGTCGCCTCGTCGCTCGTTCCAGCCAGATTTGTTGACTGTCATCCCGCAGAATTTCCTCTACTGCTTCCGGCGTGTCAACATTTCGAGCCGCCCCAGGATGATCCGGTTGTTGTGCAAACTTCTCAGCATACTTCTGAGTCAAGCCGAAAATTATCTCCGCGAAGACCACCCTGAACGAGTCGATCTCGCTACACTCATCCAGAGCTCTGCGAGCCTGATTCCAAAATGACTTTTGCAAGGTCCGGTCGAATTCTTCTTCTAGGTCAGGCTCCGGTGGCTGGAATATGTGCGAAAGATCCAGGCTGTCGCCGGCAGACCAGCGCGCTTTGCTCCTCTCACTCGACTGTGCCCACTGCGCCGTAAAAGCCATGACCGCCGAATTCAGAGCATGCGCCACCTTCCTCTCCTCAGCGGTGCTCAGTTTCTTCAGGCCCAACGAAGTTGCCATCCGGTCGAGCCTGATGACCCGTCGATACACGCGGTTAGACCAATCTGGACCCCAATCCGTCTGCATGTTCTGGAATGCCCCAAACTGCTGCTGACTGTCACTGCTCGTAGAGCTCGGAGTTGACGGCAGAGACTTGTACGGGCACGTGTGCTCGACCAGCCAGCATGACAGCGCGCCTTCCATCACGTCGTGGTAGATCTTCATCATTGTCTCCCCAATTATGAAGCTATTGGTTGTGGCAGATAGCCGGTTCCCCGACATTAAATCCCAAGGGGGGGCTGAAGTTGGCATATGAATAACTGCCCGGCCTGTGCTCGTCCTGCGCCTTTTCCGGACAGGATTAAGGTCATCTGAAGAAGAGGGACTGCTGACAGCCAGGGAGGTCGGGCTCGACCAGACATCAGGACCAAAGGAATTGAGCGTCTCAGGGGCACTGTGCAAGGCATTCGGTTGGCCCGTGGGTCCCGTGGTGAATGAGCCCAGGCTGTAATCGGTGAGCTGACTGTTGGCGTCTATGAAATGAGGCTGCATATGTTGCCCACTGTCCCTCATGTCCATGGGCAGGAACGGGGAGGCAAGCGAAGCGTCCCTAAAGGCTGCAGCCGGCTGGAACCTCTCCGGATTGGGCACCGGATACGGGCAACTCTCAAGCCCAAGCTGATCCTGCGCAAGGGTGTTGTCCGGGCGGTGGGCATAGGGCGCATCGAATGTTAGTATCTGGGATGATGGATGGAGCGGACGCAAGGGGATGTTGGAAGGCGCGGGCGCAGCGGCCGGTCCAGGCGGCTTCTTCGCTGACGGCGTCGATACATCAGAGGCAAGCTGCTGCTTCTCCTTCCGGTTGACCTGTTGGCTGTGGACCCACTCGAAGGTGCATTGCTTGTTCGTCCTGACGCAGTTTGTACATGGCCCCAGAAGGTCAGGCTGGTCGTCTGTGCCTGGAGTCGTGTTAGTCTCATCTGAGAGGGAGAGATGGATACAACCGTTCCTGTCTCTCTCTGTTCCCGCCTGCGCTGCGGCCGGATCTAGGTGAATGAATGAATGTCTCTGGGTCAAAGAATACCTCCATGACTCGAAATGGCTGCGTTGCCCGGGGCCTGCGGGGGCTTTACAACGGTGCTGGCCGCATCGAGCGCCCGCTGGTCGCGCAGCCAGACGGCGTCGCAAGCTCTTTTACCCTTCCTGCACTGGTCGCAGCTCGAGTTCTGTCGCCGGCTCATTGTCATCGATGCGCCATAAGGCCATGTGTATGTGTGTCCAGCTGTTGCGAGGTCGCAGAGGCAGGGCGAGGCGACGGAGTCCGACGCACGTCGGATCTAGCGCGAAGAGAGTTCGGCCGGGATGGAACGCCTCGCTGACGGGGCACATGACCTTCCACTCTAGCTTCACCCTGGGCAAATGCAGACAAGCATGGCCCCTGAATCTCTCGATAGCTGTCCCCGCACTCAGCTGGCTGCGCGGGCAGCCAGCTGAGACGCAGGGCGGCACCATGTCTCAAAAAACTGGACTGCATCTGCACTCGATCCGCTCGGTTTGTATGCCTATGTACTGTCTAAGTGCCACAACGGACATAGATCCTGTGGAGACACAGCAGTGGGAGCTGATGTTGGCAACCTCACGGGCCTCCCCCCCCGGCCTATCCACCTTCCCCAATCCCCAGGTGCCCCGGCTCTTAGGTCTCCGGACCCCACGGCCCGTCCTAGGCCTATTCCCGACCCGTGTGGCACAGTGTACAACGTCCCTGCTGTGTTTCTGATGCAGGCAGACTCGTTCTAAAATCTTGACGCTCAGCCTAGTGTTGGGATTGCAACGCAAAATCTTCATGTCTACTAATTCGCTGCTGTCAGAATAGACCAGTCGCCACAAAACACTTAGGTATGGCATCAGCACTTCATTAATGCCCCTCGTAGATGGGAGGCAGACTGCGTGCGAACGACTGAGTGCGGCTCAATTGCAACTCCCAAAATTGATAATAGTCTTACGAAGTCAAGAACTCTGAGACCATGGCATTGGCAACTGCCATGAACCTGACTCTAGGTTCGGCGGTGCTCTTTCCATATGTGTCATTGCCTCCTTGGCCCTTCAACACAACAGAACTCATTTGACCGTTGGTTCATTCTCGACCAAGCTGCTCCAGGTGCGTCGTACTCTGCGGCCCAACACATATCGTGATACCCGCGGACATTCTGCTACCGCGGGATACGTATCCAAAGATATGTATCTACCAAGGACAATGTGGACGCAGAGCCGCTGACTCTTGCGAGAGTTAACTACGTAGTGAGCGGCACGGGACAGACAGAGCTTATCAACAGACACTCAGACCAAGTAAATTCTCGCTCGCCACCAGAACTCTCTTAATCGATGAAAGTACTATGAGGAGGGACAACAAGTACCTGAGCGAGCTCCGCCTGCTTGTGCACGTCGCTCCAGAGGCACATATATGTATGGCCAGACGACCTAGCTTGGTTGAGGTATGCTTGAAACGTCAGTCAGACAACAGCCTTTTCTCCCTGAAGTCACCCATTATCTCTTGCAGAGCGTCCCCATTATGGTGGCTGAGCTTTTCAACAGACTGATTTGACTGGTTCCAACTGTGTCACGTTGCGCGCATGTACTCAAATCAGTGGCGTCTTCCCCTGTTGAGAAGCGGCCCACAGTATACATCGTCGAACATGGAACTGTCCTGAACTCAATTCAAACTTTTAACACACACCTTGGCCTCTGTGCCAGTCATCTTGTGCTATGGGTAGGATCATCAGCTGTGTGTCCAATTACCTATCTGGATATAACATACTTCTGTCACTGATTATTCATCGTCTGGGCGCCGTGGCAGAGTGGTCTAATGCGATAGACTAGAATACTTGAAGAGCCATTCTGGTTATCTATTCTCTTCGGAGGCGCATGTTCGAATCATGCCGGCGTCGCAATTTCTTTTGCTCAATTCCAGAGAGTCGAGATCCTAAGCGTTGTCCTTTTTAATATTTAAGCTCATTTCAAACTTTCCATAAAGAAAATATAAGTTAAGAGTATATAAATTTATATAAATAATAATTATATTTAAGTTAATATTAAATAAGCTTTATAAAATTAACTTTAATTATATTTAATTTTTTTCCTTAATATATATAATTATAATATTATATATATTTATTTATTATAAAATAATATTATAATTATTTATATAATTAATAATAAAAAAAGTAATTTAATTTAATTTTAATATTATTAAATATAATTTATTAATTAAATTAATTTAATAATTATAAAAAAAGTTTAAAAATAATTTTATAATTTTTTTTAATTTAATATATTATATATTTTTTAAAAATAAAATAAATATTTAAAAAATTTAAAATAATAATTTATATTTATTAATTATTAAAAAAAAAATTTAATTTTTTTAATTTATATAAAAATAATTAATAAAATAAAATTTATATATTAATTATTAATTTATAATTAAAAAATATATAATTATTATATATATATATTATTATATATAATAATAATAATAATAATAATAATAATAATAATATAATTTATAAATAAATAAATTTATTTAATAAAGTTTATAAATTTTTATTAATATTAATTATATTAAATATTTTAATTTTTTATATTAATTTTATTTTAATTTATTTATTTAAATATTTATTATATTAAATATTAATATTATATTATATATATTTTTTTATTAAAAAAAAAAATTATTTTAATTATTTAAATAATTTAAAAGCTTTAAAAAATTATTTAAAACTTTAAAAATAATTAAAAATATATAAAATTTTTTATATTTATTTAATATATTATTAAATAAAATATTTAAAAATCTTTATTATATTTATTTAAAATAAAAAATATAATTAATTTAATATTAATATTATAAAATCTTAAATTTATTAATAAATATTAAGTTTATTATAAATTAATTTAAAGTTATTTATAAAAAATATTTAAATAAAATTTATATTTAAAATATAAAAAAAAAGTTTATTTTTTATTTATATTTAACGTTAAGCACCAACGAACGATGCATATTAGCGAGCAACGCACTTTTTAGTATTAAGAGCATAATAACTTAAATTGCAGCACCATAATTAGAAAAAATTAATTAAATTTAATTGGAATTGGAATTTATAGATTATTTTATATTTTTCTTATAAGTTTGCGCATTATGCCCGGTTTCATTGCAATTGCCATATTATCTTTTTATTAGTTTGCTATAAATTAACTTCTTAATGTTATTATTTATTTTATTAGCTAGCCGCTTTCCCTTTTCCTTTTTATTAATTAACTCTTTAGCCTTTTATATAATAAGTGCTTCTTTATTCTGCATATATATTTTTTTAGCTCTTTAATGCTTAAAAAGTATTATATTTATAGCTTAAAGATTATTAATCTCTTAGGTTAAAAGTATAACTATATAAGCTAATAATTATATACCCTTTGCTAACTTATTAATAATAGCTAAAATTAATATTAAGGAGCTTTCTTAATAATAAAAGATTTAGTTTTTAATTAAAGTTAATTAAGAAATTACTTATATTAAGTTATGTAATATTTAAAAAACCTAAGGTATAAGTAGTATTAAAGAGCTTAATATAGCTATTAATATTTAAATCTTGATATTTAGCTTAGAAAGCATAGCTTTTTGGTTAAATAAGATAAGGCCTGCTTCTTTAAAACCTCCCTTAATGCTTTTTAGCTTGAAAACCCTCTTATATATAGCGTAAAAGGCAAGGAAGAACTCTATTTTATTAATATAAATAATTTAAGCCTTGCTAAACTGGCTGATTTCTACATTATATATCTTTTTTAATAAATTAAAATACTTAATATTTAATGGCTAAAGTAAATAAAATAAATAAGGAGGCATATAAAAAGTAATAATATTCTTAAATTTATAATATTGCTTAAAATTTATAAAATAATAGCTTTTATGCTTATTAAGAATTAATAGCTAATAAATGCCCTTTATATATAATATAATATGTTTTTTAAAGTGCTAAATTTATTTTATAATAATTTTATTACTTATTTATTTATTTAGGCTTATTTTAATTACTTAATTATTTAAAAGGCTACCCTTAATATATTAGCTTATAAGGTATATTTTAGCCTTAATAATTAAGAATGGCAATTTATATTATTTATCTTTATTAATTAATTTAATAATTATTGCTTATTATTAATTCCTAAGTTATATT